GTAGTAGCAGTAGTAGTAGTAGCAGCAGTAGTAGTAGTAGGAGCTCCCGCTGCTGCTGCTACTACTACGACGACTACTCCTACGCCTACTCCTACTCCGACGCCTACTCCTACTCCTCTACTCCTTCCTCCCTTCTTCCCCAAGTCCCCAAGTACTAAACTGGTAGTGCCGGTAGTTCCAGTCGACCTTGCTACACAACCCGCTTCCGTTTTACGGCTTTGTCTTCTTCTTCTTCTTCTTCTTCTCCTTCGTTTCTCTTCTGCTTCTCTCGCGGGCTTCCACCTAGAATGCACATCAAACTCCCTTGAGGCCACCTCTCTATGGCCGGCGGGCTTGCCGAAGGCAACTAAATAATTCACTAAGCTGTATTAAGAGGTTTTTGGGATAGCTACCCCTACATTCACCATTATTTACGGACATTGCAGTGAGGATCGCAATCTTGGCAGCGACCCAAACGAGTCCATGAATGTGATTAAGTAATATGATGATAGTCCTGAAATAATAAAGCCTGACTATAAAATACTATAAACTGGGGCTTGCCCCCAGCCCAGTTTATAGTGATTCAAAATACTATTCAAAGTGTGATACATACTTAAAACTCGTGACTTCTTCACTGGAGGGTTTAGCAGAACTCTGGAGAATCATATACCCATGGTTGTTGTCACGTATACCTCAAAAATGGCACAGCAACTGCTTGTTGTATGGGAATGAGTCAAAACACTGAGGGGCCCTGGCTTTCACATCAAACGAGCTGGTCAAGCACATCCATTCAACCGGAAAATGAATGGATATAACATGAATTCACAGTGGGTTCCATAACATTTAATCCATAACTGTTACCCTCTGGTAAACTAACATAACTATAGAAAATCACCATTTTCAATGGGAAAATCCACTATAAATGGCCATTTTCAATAGCTATGTTAGTTTACCAGAGGGTATATAAATATAACATCCATTTAATCCATGGCATTAAACAGAACATAACAGTGGATCATCCCATGGATTCTAGCGACCCTGATGTCCCCGATTCCTGGATTATGCCATTTACAACTGGCTCAAAAACCGATGTAACTCCTATGGATCACATGTTTTTCTTGGGTTTTAGATGGTAACTTAACCACTAAATCCATCTAAATCCCATCAGAATCCCTATCCCATAAAAAATCACCATAAAAATCGCCATGTGAGTCGTATGAAATCCCCATGTTTCTGCCAGTGGAGCCGTTAATAGGTGTCCCTACTATGGGTTATCAATGGTTATCATTATCTTCATTAAACCACGTAGTATAATGCCCTATTTCATTACCAATCAACAGTCATGTATCAAATCCCCATGAATTGTCCTATGATGATATTCCCGATTTGGGTGCTTAGATCCCCATTTTGTTGACCAATTCAACCATCATTTTCAGTTGTAGTGTATTACATCTCCATTTCTGATGCTTCAAACCATGTAAATCCCCTTCTGATAACCAATCCATGTGGTGCTGTCTACGATACCCTCTGGTAATTTAACATAGCTATTGAAAATGACCATTTATAGTGGATTTTCCCATTAAAAATTGTAATTTTCCATAGTTATGTTAGTTTACCAGAGGGTAACCAATCAACCATGCTATGTTTACATATGTTTACTCCCTTCGAAGACAGCACGTCTCTCACTTCTCCTGGCGACGAAGTCTCTCACTTCTGCAAGCCTCCAACCTCTGGTGTTCGCCGACTTCTCTGGGATTTTAGGGGGATTTCATGGGATAATATAATATTATAGGAATATGAATGGGATAATATATTTTTATGGGGATTTCATAGAATTCCATCATTCCAATTTTTGATATAATTCTATATAATTCTATGGTATGTTCTGAAGAATTATGTGGATGTTCATGGGATTCTGATGCTGATTCCGTGCAAGGGCAAAACTTTAGAAAATGAGTGAACGTGTCCAACAGATTCCAAAAAACAAGGTGCTATATAATGGCTATATATATATATAATGGTCTTTCTTTAAAATGAGCGTTGTTGAAATAACCGTGGATGGCGATGGCATTAGCGACTCATTCCCAACCTGGAAATAAGATGAAATGAGCCACGAGAAGCCCATTGTTTGTGGGCAAGTGGTGGGTAATTGCTTCCCTTTTCGATCTTTTCGTATCATGGTGAGGGGGCCAGTGTCACCATTGGCACCGAAGGCACTGCTTCTCCAGACTTTGATTTCGAAGCCTCAGGGCCTCCCACGTGGACCAGAAGATTCCGCGCGTATCTTTGGTTGCTAGACATTGTCCATGGATGTCGATGGAATTTATAGGGACCCCCAATGATGGCACCATCCCATAAGCTTCCCACCCTATTATTGTATCGTAGTATGGGAGGGCGACCATGGGAATAGGGGTAGCAGCACCATTGGTGGTCCCCAAAAAAAATCCACCAAGATTGGTGAGTCAAACCCCTGGTACCCTTTTGTGAACACCAAAATAGCTGGTAAATCGATGTTCAGCATCTCCAAAATTATGGTTGTGTGGTTTTGATCCATACCCGCATCCACATGTTGGTGGATTTACTTAGACTTAGAAATCAAATAATCAGGCTGTCAGCCATGTATAAGTTTTTTGATTATAAGCCCGCATATTTTTTGGGCTACCTTTTGCAGTGATCACAAGCTGAGCATTGGGTATGCGTTTCATTGTTTTATCTATGACACACAAGAAATTTGGGCACTGGAACTGAAATTTAATATGCCCAAATATCTCCAAAGACAAGAAATCCAAGAGCAGATAAACACCTTTGCCTTTACAAATCTTTACAAGCTTTTGTCTAGGGTTCCACATCATTTCGGGGGGGGAGCTAGTTTCAAGAAAGAACATGCACACAAATCGATTGAAAATGACTGAATCAACATGAATCAAACAAGTCTATGAAATATATTTGCAAAGATTCCTGACACCATCTACTCACCCAACCCACCTCAACTTTCTGAGGGGCGAATCACTGGGTGTCAGATGAAATACGTGCACTCCCCGTGATAGCAACGAACCTAGCAACGAATGATCTCCGATGATATCTTTGATGGGTACTCCAGTGGTGCCCCCGAACTCTGCGAAGTTTGTTTGCTTCACTCGGCGAAGTGTTGGGTCTATGGGGCATCATAGAACTACAGTTCACTGGGATAAATCAAGATTAGTTTGCTGGGACATGCTGGGACCACCTTGTTCGGCTATATCTTCCACCATGTCTCCAGCCGCACGGAATTTTGTTTCTCAAGCCATTTCACTTCCAGCGAAGAACGAGCCGCGTTCATTCACCTCAAACGGTTTTTTTTGCGCAGTGGGGAACCCTTTGAGGCAAAACTCGCATTGAATGGAAATTTCAAGTAAATGGGCTCAGGATGGCTCAGGAACATTATATTTCATATAATCTGGTTGGTGGTTTCAACCCCCCTGAAAAATATGAAAGTCAGTTGGGATGATTGTTCCAAACCACCAACCAGATTATATTTTCTATAATGATGTTTTGCGTGTTTTTTTTCTACTTGGATTCCCCGCAGTTTGAGACACATCAAGACAGGCCTGACAGTTAGAAAACAAACAGTGGCTCCCAGGGATTCCAACAGTGAAGTGTGACCCAGGTTGTCATGCCATCACTCATTTAGTAGTTTTTTATACAACCCCAGCTGGGGGACACTTTGCAAAATGCATATATATATATATATATATTATATATATATACATGTTACATCATGTTACAGTATTCCAAATGGCACCATGTTGTAATTAACCCATAAAATGGTTGGTTTTATACCTCATGGTTTGTTGCTGGGAGATTCCAAAAGGATCCTTAAAAGGCCCATGTTAGGGGCCTCACCGTGATGTTCCACCGTCCCTGTTCCGCGGCCTGTTTTGAGGAGGACAACTTCGTCCAGGCTGGCAAGGACAGAGTTTCCTAGACACGACGGTGAAAGAGGATGGAAAAAGGTACCAGTTGTACATGTTTAATGAAGATTTTTTAAAGCAAAGCAAAAAAAAAAACCAAACGCAACAATCCAAATCTTAGCAAAAGACGGATTCTGAAAAGTATCTGAAAGTATGCCGCTACTCAGAGAAGAATCTTCCTTCGGAACTTGCTAGTAAACTATTTAGAAAGGGCCATGGAGTTGGTGAACTGGTTAGTGGGTTCCCCCTTGTAATCCAATGAGTTCAGCCCCCATTGTCATCAAATCACCGCCACGCTACGAAAAAACAGGAGGAGTGAAGCCAGGTAGGGTATAACCCAGCCCTGATCACCAGTTACCCCAAACTGGGAATTCACCCTGCGGTGTCATCAAACATGCTTAGCTGGGAAAAAAACAAGAAAATCGAGGTGTTTGCGGGAAAGTCATGTAGAAACGGGAGATGTTCCATTGCACTTGCCATGTTTGATTGCCGGAGGCTAACATGAGATGTGAAGAAATTTGCAGAGAATAGGGAGAGTGTAGCAACATCAAGAAATGGGGATGGGTCAAAACCCTGGTTTTTTTAGTGAACCCCAAAATAGCTGGTAAATGGATGTTCATGCCACTAAAAATGGTACTAATAGGTATTGACCCATACCCAAATCAGAACGAAAACATGGGTTCTTTTCGAACCATGGGCCCACCAAGGTCCTGGGCAACGAGAGCAGCTTGGATTGACATCAGCGCATCCAACATCACATGCACGGCGCCCCTGACAAGGCCCGTTATGTCAGGTGCTGTTGAAGGGGGAGTTCACCAGCCCATTACCCTGATGAACATCACAATCGATGTTCATCCCCACAAGTAGTAAGAACTTGATTCCATACCAACTTTATAACCAACCTGGGGTGGAGGGACCATGAAATTGTGCATGACAGAATAGGAAAACATATATATATATATATGACGGTTTGTCAAAATGTCTGTTCCCGGTTTTGTTGATAAATCGCAATTCCATGCGTGCCGCCTCATGTTTGCCTTTAAAAAACATGACCTACCTTGATGACGTGAAAACGTGGAAATTCTTCGTTACCTTTGGAAATCTTTCTAAAACCACAGGAATTGGCTAACGCACGTCGGTTTTCATTCGCTGTCGCTGGTACTATCTCCTGAACTGTGTGTCTCTGTGTGTGCGCCTCTCTGAATGCAATATGCTTCTTGACATGCCTCCTGATCAACGCTGTTTCCTTACTGTAAGCTACCAAAGCGTGAACATGGCTGGGCCTCTGAATGGGCTGCGGGTGAACCGGGGCATGTATTTGGAATTTTCGCTAGCGCGTTGCTAGCGGCAATCTAGCGCGTAAAATACGTAAAAAAAAATCGAAAATTTGGGAATATGTGGAAACTGACAGACTTGTAAGAAAAGCTGGCAAGACATTCACGACATGGAGGCCATGGCTGTCAATCAAACCTAGCGCAAACCTAGCGGGTTTGCTAGCGCTGCCTTGCAGAATTGCTGAATTTAGTTGCGTGCCGCCTCATAACGAAGAGGAAAAACAGTAGACCCAGATGAATTATCAACAACCAATACTAAACTTCTAAACAACTATTTTTGACAAATGATCATATATATATATATATGCCAATTACAAAGCAGGTAAACATATTGATAAAATCAAACATGAGAAGAACATAACTTTCTGGAAACGGTCTAAGCATTGTGGACAAATATTCTCAAACTGGTTCTGACAGCGGGAAAACATATCTACGTACTTCAGCATTGATAAATAATGATAGAAATTCATGTTCAGAGTTCAGAGGTTAGCCCTGCAACAGAATAAATAAGCAACTAATGGTAACGGTCTCTCAGTATGGTTTCCGGATAGGTTGCAGCCATAATGAACATTATGGATATTAAATGATATTAATGGATCAATTGGATCAATATTTCAAGGCCAGAAGCCACGCATGTTTGTGATGGATTGGATCAACCTTTACGTGATCAACTCATTGTTGCTCGTACGTAACCTTAACTTATATACCGCCAAAAAATAGGTGTTTTGCTGGGCATGAGATTTCCTTCCTTGACAGGAAAACACGTAACTCAATGTCAAACCAACGCACTTTTCATGTTTCGCAAAATTTATTAATATTGGATGAAACATTTACGTAGATTCTTCCCGATTAATAAATTTACTAAATTAGTAAGTTTACATAAATTTACTAGCTTTGCAGACTTAGGGCAACAAAATCAAAAAAACATGAAAATCGTTTTTTTGTCACTTACATGTGTTAAATCAGTAATTGGTGATGAAGTTACAACCACTGTAGATCACAAGTTTTATTGAGCATCATCAGTTTATATATTGGTTTTGTTGATTACATTCCAATGAAATTTCATTAAATCTCATTCCCCCGGTTTCATTGATCTTGTTGATGACATTCCAATGAAATCCTATTGGTTTACCCTCTGGTAAATTAACAGTTGGACCCTGTTTTAATGGCCTAGTTTTACTGGAAACTAATCTTCCAACCCCTGTATCTGCCAGGGTCTGTTAAGGTAATTAAACGTAGCTATTGAAAATGACCATTAATAGTGGATTTTCCCATTAAAAATGGTGATTTTCAATAGCTATGTTAAATTACCAGAGGGTAATATTTCCCCATATTTCCCCGGCGTTTCTTCGTGAAATCCACGCCCGCCTAATGGCCATCTGCGCTGCCGCGGCAGCGAGCTGTTGTGTGTCGCCGGACAGGGTGGATGGCGAGGACAGGAGCGCCTCGCCGCTGACGTTTCAGAAGCCTACAGAGATTTCTAATTATTAATAATTGTTAATCATGGTTAATAATGGCAAATAATGGTTAATATGAATGTTAATAATGATAATGAATAATCATAGTGAATATTAATGGTGAGTTAATATGAAATGTTCAGTAGAATAATGGTTGATCATGATTAATTTGTAATGGTGAATTACAATAATGGTTAATAATGTTTATAATAATATATCTGAGTAGATCAATGGGAAAATCAAGACCCGAAACTGGAGGTTACCATATATGTTTGTTGCATATCCTCTTACATAGCCCTAAAAAATTGGCCGCAAAAATATGGTAGGTACATCCAATGTAGGTACCTGAAATGGCCATTGATTATTGTGGGAATTGTAGGTGCCCTTTCCTACAGTAAGTGTTCAACTACAATTTTTCATGAATAACATTGAATAATTGTACTAAAGTTTAAGGGCAACTAATCTTCATAATACTTATATTAATCGAAGGAAGTTTAGAAGTCAAACTTCGACAATATGGACAGATGAAAAGCAGTGTAGGGAAGAGGCAGAGAGAAGAGAAAGATTAGAAGAGATAAGAGTAGAAGAGAAAGAGTAAGATGCGCGAAAAGGTAGGAAAGTCGCGATTCACTGTGTTTTTCCAATGATTTGTGGCTCCGGAGGGGTCGAAAAGTAGGCTCGCTAAAGCGGCGGGTGCGGAGCTAGCTGGCCAGATGAGAGATGAAAAATTGCACGCCGTTGTGGCGCGAAGCACATTTCCAAGTCAAAATGTACAAAACACACCAGCTCCGGACTACTTTTGGCAGTTGAGATGTCGAAAAAGTGCACGCCGTTGTGGCCGAAGCACATTTCGAAGTCAAAATGTACAAAACACACCATTGTCGGAGCACTTTTGGAAGTTGCGATGTCGAAAAAGTGCACGCCGTAGTGGCACGAAGCACATTTCGAAGTGAAAATGTACAAAACACACCAGCTCCGGACCACTTTTGGCAGTTGAGATGTTGAAAAAGTGCACGCCGTTGTGGCGCGAAGCACATTTCGAAGTCAAAATGTACAAAGCACACCATGGTCGGAGCACTTTTGGAAGTTGAGATGTCGAAAAAGTGCACGCCGTTGTGGCGCGAAGCACATTTCGAAGTCAAAATGTTAAAAACACCAGGGGATCGGACCACTTTTGGAGGTTCAGATGTCGCTTCGCTTCACTACACTACACTACATTACACTACACTACACTCCCATACACTCCACTCCACTAAAATAAACACTACATGACACACACTTGAAAACTAAAAAAATACAAAAAACTCCACTACAATACACTCCACTACACTCCACTACACTAAATTACACTACACTACACTACACTACACTACACTACACTACACTACATAACACTACATTACACTACACTACCTTCCACTACACTTCACTACATTACACTACACTACACTCTACTACACTACAATTACAACTACGACTACACAACTACACTCCACTACACGAAATTACACTACACTACACTACATTACAGTACACTACACTACATTCCACTACACTCCACTACACTACGCTACATTACACTACACTACATTACACTGAATGACACTGCACCACAGATAGACAGGTAGATAGACAGACAGACAGACAGACAGATAGACAGGTAGACAGCTAGACAGATAGACAGATAAAAGAGAGAGAGAGATAGATAGATAGATAGATAGATAGATAGATAGGTAGGCAGGCAGGTAGGTAGGTAGGTAATTAGATGAAAGAGAGAAAGAGAGAGAGATAGATCGATCGATAGATAGATAGATACATAGAAGATAGGTTGGTAGGTAAGTAGATAGTCAGAGAAAGAGAGAGAAAGAGAGGAGACCTCAAGCACCTTTCGGTCCATCAGTGAATTCGCTCTGCCATCCCTGCTTCACAACAACCAATCTCTCCTATAGGTTCCTATTTTTGAAACTTCCGCCACCGCCTTGTGCGGTACTACTGGTAAAATTTAATAAATGTTGACAGCGTTTAGTCCTATGACAACCTCCTGAATTGAGGTGAAAAGTTTCCTATTGGCAGATCATGGGAAATTCATGGGCTGCAGGACTGGAAGAAATAGGTACAGCTGTTGGATTTTAATACCCTGAAAGTTGTACCATTTATGTATTGGTACAACTTATATATTGGTACCATTGGTAGACATTGGTACTATAAGTTGATAACCCTGGCAATTATGGTTTTATATCCACTTATAGCTGAAACTGCGCATGTAACTTGCTCCATTCTACTGGCAAATCTACGGTATCCGGTGAATTGATTTTTTTCATACCTCCAATATTGCAGTTTGCTTGGAATTGCTAAACAGGCCCCCCCAAAAAAGAAAACACATATAATCCCTAAAGTCCTAGAGGTTCCCCAGTCAAGGTGGCTTTCCCAGAAAAAAAAACATAATTCATCACCTTAAGCCAGGCCCCTGGTCATACTTCGGGATGACCAACCTCCGGTATGGATATAATTCTCTATGGAGGTTTCCTAAATGGGGGTACCCCCAGTGTTCATCCATTTTATCTATTTTTCTTTTGGGGTTTTCCGTGAAATAAACCATCCAGCTATGGTAGCCCCAGAGAACTACGGAAAACCCCATATGGCACAGGCTACGTGCCTGCTGCAGTTCACCAATGGATAGCGCAAATGAGCGATATCTACCACCAGTAATGGCAATGTATTGGGAATCTACAGATATGGGAGTTGCCGTAGTCATGGGGGTAAGCTGGATGGAAATGGATTATTTGGGGATATCGATACCCCTATTTTAGGAAACCCATATATCTCATCAACTATATTACATCGACCAGGATTTCAACCATACAAAATGGGCCCGCCAGTTACATATCCGCTTATGTTCATCAAACTGTCTGTAGACGTTATGTTGTATTCACCTTAAATCCAAGCATAATCCAAGCGGTAGCAACGAATAACAACTTACGTATGGTTCGGGGCCCTTCCTTTTTGTTGTGATGAAGCCATGTTTTCCCCATTGATGGTGGTAACTATTGTGAAATTACTACCTGGTAATTCTTTGTATATCACAAACAGATCCAGGATATTCCAGGATCATACCCCGCCCAAGATAAACATGATAAACTCTGCAGTGAAATGTTTGATTTGGGACAAGCCCCTGAGATGCTCATGGTTCATGACGATTACAAGGTCAACACAGATTCTATGGGAAACTCGCAGAGTTCTTCGCGATCTGCAATGCGATCCACAAGGTGTCTACTTACTAAGCATGGGCTGAATCTACTACTGTTGTGACTTATAGCAATGGCCAGAAAATATATGTTATAGTTATACAAGCATGCATCACCATCAAGCAACAAGCGGGTTGGCCTACCTTCGAAACGTCGATTGAATTGTAGCTACCCTGCTACCCTTAACTACGGGTAGTTACGACCAATCCAATTAGTTTTAGCTCACGACCAGCCATTTTGACCTTCGACTGTTGAGTGACCTTCGTGCCATTTTCATTGCCATTTTCATTGCCATTTTCTTCACATCGCGCCTGTGCCTCCATACTCCATGTCTCTTCCGTTGACTGTCGTTGCAGCGCGGCGAAGCACACCTCACTGCAATGATGCCTCGGCAGGGATGCCCCCAAGATGATGACATGTTCAGCCGAACAAAATGATGATGACATGCTCATTGTTTGCTAAGTTGGCTTAGTTCATGTCTAGATCAGGTTTCTTGTTCGGTTCATAGATATACTACAGATTGGTGAAGATTTGTGAAAATAAACCAACTTACAACTTGGGGTGCATCACTGCGCAGGGGCGCAGGGCCCTTAAAAAAAATTAGGAGACCTGCGAGCAAAGGATATTCACCAGTAGATACTCTCCTGTAAAATAAAATGCAACTTGGAACCCCCTCAGTTCCATGAAATGTTTTAACACATATGGATTTTCGACTCCAAGTTCAGTTTTACTTAGATCTTCCATGTGCGACTTATTTCTGCCGTTGATCAGAAAAACAACAATTCTACAGTAGTCGTTTTGAAATCGTTCCTCAAAAGAAGTGTGGTTGTGAGACGTGATGTTGTTTTGTGGTCAGGGAAGAGGAATGTCGTACCTTGGAGTGGCCAAATTGTTTGTACGGATTGAATGTGCTATCTCTTTCTCTCTATGTTCTTTTATATATATATAATCATATTGTATCAAATTATATCATACATTATCATGCAGTATATTGTATCATATATCATATAATATGCAGTTGGTGGTGAAAGTCTTATCTACATTTTATCTACCATGTTTGATGAATGTTGTGGATTCCAAAATCAAGGAAAAGACCAATGGTTGCTCCCCAAAACCTGTTGGCCAAACTACTCGATAGAGCAAATGGTTCAACATGTTTGTGGCTAATCCGCTGCACGTTGGTGGGTTAAGCCACAACGGTTCTGGACTAAATTTTCTCCTGCCGGTGAAAATCACCTGTCGATGGGGCTGGATGCGCGGGGCTGGATGCTAGTAGCGGTTTCAGCTTCATTGCAAGCTGGGGGTGGGTTGTTGTGGGACGGGTTCGCAGGCGCAGACGCACTGGATTCGAGTGGCCAAACAAAAACAATCTGTGCAGTGTGTGAATCGAAATTGAGAGAAGATTTCAATTTCGCAACCGCAAAAACACAATAGGAATGGGAAACAATAGCTCCAAATTCAGACGTCTGATGTTCATGAATTTTGGTCAAGAGAAAAAGACAACTTGCTGTGACGAGAACACCAAGACCACGGTTTCCATTCCGCCGGCGGTTGTTTTTGTGAGCAATTCTAGTTTCTCTGTCGTAGTTTTACATGTTTTCCCAAGTCAATTCTCCTTCATTTACATGGTCAATCTGTGGTAGTCCAGAACAAATTATCATGTGTTCATTTTTTTCTTGTTGATCTGCTTATTTTCCATCTATAGCAAAAAACGAAAGGATGAGTTTCTACCTATCCAGTTGGTTGGGGTTGTTTATTAATCATAAATCAGCATCACGCACCATTAACTAGTAATCACCACTAATGACCATTAGTCACTATTAATAGTCACCATTGACTATTTATCACCACTAATCCACTATGATTAGTCACTATTAACTATTCCCAATTACCATTATAGTCACTATTAATCAACTATTATTAGTCACTAATCATTAATCACCATTAGTCACTATTAATCACCGTTATGATCACTATTAATCACCATTAACATCCATTAACCACCATTTTCATGGCATAGGTTTACCCCCATTGACATCCCAGTAACTATTAATCACCAGTTGGGGATGTTAGCCTCAGCCTTCGTCCCAGCGGCAGTCGCTGCGGAAGCTGCGGCGGAATGAGGGCCTTCAGCAGCAGGGCGCTGGGCCCGGGGCCGCCAAAGCGTTCGCTGCTCCAGGCGATGGTACCTGAGTGAAGTTGACTGGTTTGTAATAGTAATAATAGTAATATATTCCATTGATTATAGTAATAATACTGGTTAATATTACTGATTAAGTGATATAATAGTAATTACCTGGTATATATTAATAGTGCTATATTAATATACTCTATTATCACCTGAGTATATTAATCATAGTAATTAAGTGATACAATAGTAATGTTGCTCCATTAATATACTGACTAATGCTGGTTAATAGTAGTATATTCCGTTGATTATAGTGGTTAATGGAGGACAATGGAGAATGGAGTATTGATAATGCTTCATACTGGTTCATATGCCGTGGAAAACTAACACTTTGCGAACTGGAAAATCACCATCTTGAAGTTCGGTAAATCAACTATATATGGGGGAATTTTCCGTAGCTATGTTAGTTTACCAGAAGTGAACTGAATCACATATTTAGTAAGCTAATCAAGGTATTACGACGATCAATGGTATTACGTAATTTAGACGTTTGATCACATGGTTCACCCAAATCAGGGCTCCCCAGTGATGTGAATGTTGGTGTATAAACCCCTGAAGCCTGCAGCCTGATAGGTGATAAATATTCACAAAATTCAGAACACCTTAGTTATCTATGGTGCATGTTCCCATAACTATTGTACTGTATATTTTATATATATTATATATATATATATGATATGATATGATTTGATATGTTACATATGTCTATTGTATATATATATACATAATATGTAAACAATATGTATAATTATTATTGTTTACATCTTTTAAACTACATTATAAATTATATCTGTATAATATATATATACATATGTATATCTACATTGTGGGGACTGTGAATATGTCTAAATCCCTTGGTAATTCATCATCGCCCAGATACGACTGGCCAACAGAATAGCGTCGCACCTGGGCAAGCTCGGACCTGTTTATCACTTTCCACATCTACATGTGGAAACTAAAGGGGTTTCCATAAATGGGGGTACCCTCTGGTAAACTAACATAGCTATTGAAAATCACCATTTATAGTGAATTTTCCCATTAAAAAAAGGTGATTTCCCATAGCTATGTTAAATTACCAGAGGGTACCCCCAAATGGATGGTTTCTAATGGAAAGTCCTATGAAGACAGATGATTTAGGGGTACCCCTATTTCAGGAAACCTCCATATATACATGGCTACACATGGCTACAGCCCATTTTTTTACCTCCCCCATACATTGGGACGTGTTCGCAACAACCGATTTGTTTGCCGTTGCTGCTAACCGCTAAGCCATGCATTGGTTTGATCGCTGAAAATTCCATCTTTCAGTGGCACATTGTTCTCATATCCCACTAGGACAGTGGGTGATGCTTCGAAGCCGTAACCCAGTACCCAGGCTGCAATTCAAATAGCCATACATTTGCCATTGGTCTGTCCCTCTCTCTATATATATATAAATATATATATACACATAAAATAGTATACACTACATACATACATATATATATATATATACATATATATATATATATATACATATATATACGTATGCATATCATATATATACATACGTATGCACATATATATATAGTACATATATAAATATGCATACAACGCCAGGACTTCAGGGTTTTTCCTCCTGCCAAGAGTCTGATCCAAGATCCGACTCACCATGTCTCCGCGCCAAGGAAGATCCCAGAAGCGTAGGCAATGCCTGGGTACAGCGTGTGGCCGGTGCTGGAGGATACTGCTGAAGCACCAAAGAAAAAGAAGTGGGAGATCAAAGTGTTGTCTTAATCAGTATCAAAACTCAGCAAGTTGAGTCAGGAAGCAACCAAATATCTAGAATTCCCAACACTTTGGGAATCAACAATGGCAATGAAAAGCTACTCTGTCACAAGAAATTCTAATTGAATTCATCTATACATGAGGCTAAAGTCGTTGCAAGACTAGATTCCCAGAAGGTAAACATGAGTTTCCCCAAATAAAATAGGCACTCCAACCATCATCGCCACCATGATGCAATGCTTCAGCGTTCCAGAAACCTGGGCAGCGGATTATCCGAGACATGTGGATCTTAAATTTGGACTTTCAAAGATCAACACAACATGTCCATCGATATGCAAGTGGTGTCCAGAATGCAGCATGGTCATGGATGTTAAAACTGTAATCTTTATCCGTGGTTCAAATCAATGTTCCTTGGTCCAATTTCCCAAAAGTTCATGGATTATATCCCGCAATTGGTTAAATGTTCTCAGGCTTCACTGATTATATCAATCATATGCCTCTGAGCTACTAAGACCCTGGTACCTTCCTGTTCAGCCCTCCTGTTCAGCCAAAAATACATGGCGACTTGTGCATGTTCATCATCCCTAAACATTGAACAAGTTCAAAGGGACCCATCCATGGAATTTCCGCAACAAAAATGTGAGAGTGTCATCTGGATTGATCAAAAAGTGGGGAATATAGTATATATATATATATTGTATGTATACATACATATATGTGCCTATGTTCATAGAGTTCAATGTTAAAGTGGTGGTGCGCCCTATTCAACTAGGGATGAAGCCAAGAATTCTCGAAGATACCCCTGGATGCAACCCCCGAAATGGTGCACCTTGATTTCAACCATCCGGCATGTAGAAAGTGTGATCTACAAAAACCATACCGGTACAATCAAAAGTGAACCAATATATTAAAGAAACATGTTGTTCAATCTGCCGTGCTTTGTTGACTGCATCATTTGGGAGATCACCTGGGGTCATCAGATGGGATATACATATATCCATATATATATATAATCACGTAGGAGAAATGACTTGGAATCTTGTTGGGGAGTGGTTTTCGCAAAAATGATGATGCACTTGGCTTCAAAGAACCCAGCGGTTAATGTTGGGTAGCTGTAGGTGTGGAGCTATAAGAGCCCGTTGTTTCAACGGGAATTTTTCCTCTTATCTGGTTGTACCATGTATTTGTCCATATTTTTCCATGATTGTCCTATATACATTTCTCCATCCCCATGAAGCACAAAAAAAAAGGTGCTGAAAAGTGTTTGCAGGATGGTAGTTCGATAATCTTTATATCATATTTGCAGCCGTTCACAGGGTTTTTCGATCTATGACTTGGGGTTGCTGTACAATAGTTACCAACTCCTGTAACTATGGTTATATAATGTTATATAATGTTATATAATGTTATATAATGTTATATAATGTTATATTAACCACTTATCAATTCCCCAGAATCCCATTGAAACTGGCTGAATTACACAATAAATTCACCAACCTGAAAACAGCTGTTATGCTACCGCCATTTGGGGATGGTTTCCCTATACATTCACCATCATTTTGCTCTATCCAGAGATGGGGATTTCTGAACATGGGGTATCTGCAAGGAAAACCATGGCGTAGGCGTAACCTATACTAAATCATCTGGTTGGTGGTTTCAACCTACCCCTCTGAAAAACAAAACATTAGTCAGTTGGGATGATGACATTCCCAATATATGGAAAAAAAAACATGTTCCAAATTCCAAACCACCAACCAGTCATGGTCATCCATGACATAAACCGGATCTGGTGGCCTGTCCACGCATGAGATAGCCATCACCGTCCTGAATGGTTTGGAAATTGTCGCCAACAAAAATGGAGGGCAGCTGGGAACATCATCGAACTATAGGCAGCTGGGCAGTTATCAAGAGCAAAAAATACCAGAGGTTATGTTGATTTATGTTGTGTCTCTCTGTGAACCAAATGGACAGATTGGATATGGATGGGTAAGGCAGGATATGGATGTCATCCCGATTGTGGTCTGAAGTTTCCACTAGGGACGACCCTCAAAAAAAAGAAAGTGGACTCCATTCGTTGTATTGTTGGCACTCGACACGTGGTTTGAATCTGCAAAAATATTCCTCATGTGTTCGGATCAATACATGAAGTAATGATTTCAATACAAGTCGTCAATTGGGATCAAGTCCAAACCATCCGATGTTTGAACTCAATGAGGATTGAGCCATATATCAACGGATCAGATTCTAGTTCATGATATCACAGCAGAAAACAGGTGATTTTACTCATATGTCTGTTTAGTTGCACTTGGTCAGGTCAGTTTTATTTTCACCCAAACTCCAAGTATACCTCTCTTATACACAAGTTTTCCCATTGATTGTTGCTCAAATATGTCTGAGAATAACATGACCCCAAATATGGCAGAAAAAAAAAAAAACACGTCCCCACATATGGCAGGGAAAAAAACATGTCCCCACATATCGCAGGAAAAAAAAACATAAACCACCAGTGCCCAAAATTGATGGGTGCAGAAAGTCCCCTCGTTGCCAAACAGGCCAAGATTTTTCTGTACCCAAAAATCCGATAGGAAATCAATGGACCTTGGTCTCTGTTGATACACACATAAGTATATGACTATATTAATACAAAGTCGTTTCTGATTATATATATATAACTATAAAACTATATATATATACATACCTATACAGAACCATATACAAGTAACTATGTATGTATGACACATCACACCGAAATAGGTAGATTGGACTGGATTAGATTAGATTAGATTTAGATGTAGATTAGGTTTGAAGAGATTAGGATAGATTCGGATAGCTAGGATAGACTAGGTAACCAGGTAGACAGGATAGATAAGATAGATAGGATAGATAGAACGATAGGATAGATTGGATAGAGGATAGGATATATCGATAGGATAGGGGATCGGTAGGATAGGCAGGATATGCAGGATAGGTAGGATAGGTAGATAGACTGGTAGATAGAGGTAAATAGACTATAGATACTATAGACAAATAGATCGACAGATAGATAGATATAGATAGACAAACAAATAGATATACTTCTACATTATTGCCAATATATTTGCACATTTAAACCGCAAAATACTAGATAGCACTAAACTAAACTACCCATTCTGTTGGTGTCCCAAATAGCCCATAACATTCAGATGCAAATTGTTGGTTAGACCCCCTTTTTCTTGGTAGTTCCCTTGTATTTCTACATAAATTAGCTTGTCAGGGGTAAACCCTGGTTAAACGCCAAATGTCTTCAGGGTTAGACCATTAAACCTCAAATATACATTGGTTAAATCCCGTATTTCTCAATCTTAAACAACATATTTCTCAAACGACTCCTAGAAAAATATTAGATTGTCAGGGTGAACCAGTTAACCATGCCATCCTATGCACCCAAAGATTCTATTATAAATGAACCATATGACTATAGTACTCCCCAAATATATGACCAGAATTGCTGTTAGTGATTATATCAAAGATATTTTAATGTTTTTATACATATATCTATATCTGGCTGAATCATAACTCACTAATCTGAAAATAGTTGGCATCGTCTGCAACAACAACAACAACAACAACAATAACAACAACAACAACATCTTCCCAGAAAAAAATGTGTCAAGTATAGTGATTGTTGTAGAACCTAGATATAAACTAGCCATATAACTATAGTAACCTCTCTATATATATATACACACTTGTACACATGGAGGTTTCATGGGGGTACCCCTAAATCATCCATCTTAATAGGATTTTCCATTATAAACCATCTATTTTGGCGTACCCCCATTCCAGGACACCACCATATATACTATAGTTATTACCCTCTTGTTATTCAACATAGCCATGGAAAATCCCCATTTGTAATAGATGGTTTACCGAACTTAAAAATGGGGATTGTCCATGGCTATGTAACAAATAATCAGAGGGTAACTTATATGGAGGTTTCCAATCCATAGGGGTACCCTAAATAAATCATCCATTTTCGATTGGGATTTTTCATTCTAAACCATCATCAGTAACCTCATCCCAGAAGTCCTGCAAAGATGAGACCATCTTGGCGCAGCTCTCCAGACTTGCAGCTGTGGCCTGTGCCGCCCGGCCTTGGGAATTTGGCCGATGGGGATTTGGCCGAAAGAGACGGTAATGTTGGTGATTTACCGATGATTTCCCTGTCAAAAATTGTGATTTACCATGAATTACCTATGAAACACGGTGAATGTCCTAGTAAACAGGGTGTTTTACCTATTAGAAATGATGAAACTTGTCAATTTTTGGGTGTTTCTATATAAGTCGTGATCCCTAGTCGTCACCATGTTTAACCAATACCAAGTCATGGTCTGACTGGGATGATGGTACCGGGGTCCCAGGAGAAACATTGAGATTTGGAGATACTAAGATAGACTTAAAAGTTTAAAGCAGGATGGGAGATTGAAAGCAAAACAAAATACATATCATATAAACATGATAATAAACATGATAAGTTTCATCACTAGTAAAAACTGTATATAGTTGGTTTATCTTGATGTACACAGTTTTTTAGACCAAGAAAAGTTGCTATTTATATAATCAATCAAAAGGGGCATAGATCAACACAACAAACAAGTTCGACCCAAACTCTTGAAGTGAAGAAATAACAATTGCAATTTTGTGGTTTCACCCCCTGTGAACAACATCATGCACTCATTGGGGATCATTACCTCTACATGTGGCTGAAAAAAAAGCCACCTATATACCAGTGCTCTTGCGTGCTATAGTAATAGACCCCATGGTTGCTTCTTACATTCCCTCTTTTTGTTACTAAATCCGCCATTGATGGTGAGTTTTGTCGCCGGGCAGCTCTTAGAAGGTGCTTCACGACACAGCGCACCTTCGGATGTCGCTTGGGACCATCGAATTTTATCGGGATGGAAGATCTTGAAGAATAAGAAAGTGATCTTCCATCCAAGTTGTGTGATCAACTTAGATCTTATTCAACTTAGATCACTAGACATCTGAGTGAAAGTTGAAAATAGCCAGAAATGCCCAAGTTGTGTGATCTCATAGAGTATTTTTTGTTTTGTCTGTGGGTCTACTGGAATGATCCAACTGAATAAGATAGTTAATTGGGTGTGTATAAAGATGAATATATATATATAGATAGATAGATATAGATATAGATATAGGTAAAGATATAGATATGAATATAGATATAGATATATAGATATAGATATAGATATAGATATTGATATTGATATATAGATATATAGATATATAGATATATAGATATAGATATAGACATAGATATAGATATATAGATATATAGATATAGATATAGATATAGGCAAAGATATATAGATATAGATATATAGATATATAGATATAGATATATAGATATATAGATATATAGATATAGATATATAGATATAGATATAGACATAGATATAGATATAGATATATAGATATAGATATAGATATATTGATATATAGATATATAGATATATAGATATATAGATATACAGATATATAGATATATAGATATAGATATAGATATATAGATATAGATATATAGATATATAGATATAGATATATAGATATATAGATATATAGATATATAGATATATAGATATATAGATATATAGATATATAGATATATAGATATATAGATATATATATAGATATATAGATATATAGATATATAGATATATAGATATATAGATATATAGATATATAGATATATAGATATATAGATATATAGATATATTTATATAGATATAGATAAGATAGCAACATTGCTAGTGAATATAACGTCACTAGGAATCCCCTCCGTGGTCTCCTTGCATTGGGGTCTAATCCAACCTCCGAGATTCACAGAACATCTCCAGTCCTTGAAAGGAAAATGACCTACAAATGGTTCACCTAATTGGTATCTAATTAGTATTATCAAATATGTATATATATATATAGAGTGTTATAGTTATTATCTATATAGTATGTATATCTATTAGTATTATCTATATAGTTATTATAGTTGTATAGAATATGTATGTATATATATATATATACAATTGTATATACATATTGCATATGATATTGCCAGGTTTGATTCCTAGATGCGACCAGCTTGAACCATGGCTGGGTCAGATTTCACAATCCCACCCCAGGTCTGCTGATTTTCATACGGTTTTGCCTTGAAACATGTTAGCGAGTCATTCGTCATCATCATGAAGACAAACAGTTATAACATATCTAAATATTCACCATCAAAATCATAAAGACGGAATAGAAAATCCACCTTTGATGGAATTGTTGATCCACCTTTGATGATTTTGATTCTAAACGGATCAAGAATAACCACATCTAACCACTGTACCTGTCCCAGCTATGACCATGCTGATGAGTCGCCCAAGACGAGCTCACAGAAGAAGACCAAACCACAGCCTCAGTTCATCTTGAGACCTGATACCCATGGTTGTGACAGTTGTGACACGTTGTAACTATGGATTTTTGAGCATACAACTTCCATAACCTCAAGCGTAAGATGTCGTAAGATGTCGTAAGATGGTTCCGAGCCACTTACAAAATGGGGGGTAGCACCATGAAACTTAGCCAGGCGTGTTGCCCACTTACTCAGTGTCATGTACATCCAACGTGGGATCGCAATGGGTAGATTTGGGGACCCTTTGCAGACCGACATCAGTCCTCATCGGTGATTTACCATTCCAAAGCCATAGAGGCCGTCATGAGTTTTTAATATTTTTTAATATGATACCCTCTGGTAAACTAACATAACTATGGAAAATCACATTTTTAATGGGAAAATCCACTATTGCTATGGTCATTTTCAATAGCTATGTTAGTCATTACCAGAGGGTATGTGATATGTTCCAATAGTTTGCGCTTCTGGACTCTTTGGCATGGCTCTGGAACGCCACAAGACAGTGGGACTATGCTTTGAATGGGATGAATCATCCTCGCATCTATTTCTCTAGATACTAAAATCATGTTGGGCATGGTTGAAATTGCCAGAACCCAGGATTGGACACGAAACTCCCAAAAAACTCCCCCTTTTGGTTGGTAAAGGGTCTTGTGGAGATGTTCCCTTAGATTTAGATTGGGCCTGCTTCCAGAAGTCACATCCCCAGTGCTAGACATATGCAACTCCATGAATGGTGCAGTATGAGAGGGGAACCTGGGTTCATGTTCATTCTCCAAAGTGGGATTTGAATCTTCAGCTGTTATCATTGTGATCCATTACATCTTTGTTCACCGGAACAATGAGAACAAGAAGGGTTGCCTGTTCAGCCCCAAAGCCCCCCAAAAAAATCCCTAGGCTAGGCATTCCAGGAAATAAATGGAAAATCAAGACTACTTGAGACTTGAGACTTCTTGAGACCGCCTTGTCCATCGAATACTTGCCGAACTCATCTTGCCATTTGTTACAAAAAAAATCGTCCGCCCTGCCTTATGTTTTGCACTAGGTGACCAATGGAGAAATCCACCAAGGAGTTCCAGGATTGCTGCTTCCAAATATTGCTCCTGCTGATCTGTGGAGCATGATGCAGCATGGTCCCATTATGTCCCATCGCAACTTTACTGGTGATGCTTCGTTTGAGGGGATTTCTTCATGCTTTTGGGAAGACGTTGATCACTTCAAATTCATCTAATTCCGTAGAACTCCAAAGGTTTTTTGCACCAGAAAACCCCCCCGAGATCTTGTGCATGATGCTGGGATCATTTCACCAACGACGTGGATTCCTTGGATCGCCGGTGTGTTACACAGCATTGTTGGACAGCTATAAATTTGCCATCCAAATACACATTCCCGGGTGGCCCATGTTTCTACCCCGTCCCAAATCGAATTCGGGGCCGTTGTTCAAGATGTCGAGAAGCTTATCATCTCTAGACGCATCAGGATGAGATTCACAAAATGCATCCCCCCCAAGGCATGCTTTAAGATGTTTGTTTTCTTGATTTGTTGTATGGTTTAAACAGTATGGTTTCGTATGGATAGTATGATTTAGTAGTAGCTCTGTTAATTTCCCCAAATGGTCCCCCGCTCCTGAGATCTTCCGCCAAGCCAAAGTCTCGTAGCATTTCCACACCGCCAAAGCACGACCAGAACAAGGCCTGAAGAGCGCAGCGTGGACAGTAATGGAGTGCCAAAGCCACTTGATGTCATAAAAAAAACGCGTTGCTTAAGAACGGGATTCCCCAAATTATACAGCATTCGGGGGCTATCCCCACATTTTAATATGTTTTGGTCATGGAACATGATCGAAAGTGTGTTTCTGAATGGGTATAACATGGCACTACATTACATAAATCCCATAACTTGGGACAGAACCCCTAGAACTATGGTTATATCATGTTGTATCACCACAACTTAGTGAAACTGCCCAAGTACAAGGCCTTTATTCCTTGGGTGCATAATTTACTATGGGGTATGGTCATGCATCACAGTCCCATGAAATGGGAATCCAAGCATAGTGCGTGTATAAACGACATTTAAATGACTACTATATAATTCATGAACATTTTCATCCTGCAATATGGGTACAAAATCCAACTTTCACACTTTAATTTGCACACTGTTGGAGAGTTCACCAACTGTTACCGACGAAATCTTTATCCAGAAATCCAATTCTTTATCATTTCATCCGCAAGAAAGACTTCTGCAACATGGCCGTATTTTATTTTGGGGATATGGGTGTGGGGCAAAATTGGTTCCCCTATATATGTACATAATTGTACATATATATATATATATAGGTATACTTAATTAAATTAAATTAATACAGTGCTCATCAAAATATTTGAGAATGATCGTCGGTAATAACACTCCGAATGCTGCCGAGAAACTGCTACTCGCCACTGGAAGGCTTGCACTTGAGCGTAATAGGTGGCCTCATTCCAATCCCGACCATCTGCGTCAGATGATTTTGGAGACTATTTGGGACTCGCAAAGTTCATTCATTCATAAACCAACATAGATAAACTGTAAAGAACAGTAATTGTTCAATCAAAAGTTTGGATATGTCTGGATGTTTAAGCTATGATCATTCACGGGAATCGGGGCTTCCGATGGCGTCACTCCTTGGGTCGAGGCACCGTTGTCCAAAGAATGTACATCAAGCTAAAGCAAAGAAACCTCAGAGACGATGCCGATGGATGCCGATGGCTCCGCGTTCATCATCCCACAGCCCTGTGAAGTTCGACATAGTTTGACCACAAGACTCCAATAGCAACTGCTTTTGAAAATCCTCCTTTTTCATCATTTTTCATCTATACATGTAATATCATGTAATTATCTTCCATCCATATGGATCCAGGCGAAGCCCGAGGCACAGCTCATGTGCTCCAGGGCTGGCTTGGGCACTGCGCATCGCCGGGCTCAATCTGAGTCCACCACTTGAAATCCCAGGATTTTGGGCACCACTGCAATACATGGGATATACTTGTTATTATACTTAAGTTGATTGGGTACTATATGGTATCATTATATACTACTTGAGTTGATTCTTGGATTTCTGAATCCATAAAAGTCTAGATAGTTAAACAGTTACTCCGATATCAGAATCCATCCCAATCATGTGGATGTTTCCGAGGATGGGCTGACACCCCTTTTTTTTGCCGATGATTTCGTTGAAGAAAGCCTCCTCAACTGGATCCTGAAATGGAATACATCCCATAGAAAGTCAAGTTTCACACATCAATATACAGAGGGTTATAGAGGGATATGATCAACAAATACCAATAGATCCAATACGGCGGTAGAGTAGAATATCCAACAGCAAGGGATGAAGTAAGAAAGAGAAGTCCATCTCCTAGGGGTCCTTGTTGAGACAGGTGAGTGACAAAAGGATTCACAGAATTTTCGAGTATCCGAAAAGCATAAAACAAGTGTCACTAAGGTAAACATCCATTCACTACCTCATGTGTTCTGCTCTGCTCCGAACACGCAATCTCAATCACTATTTGAGCAATTATTTCAGTAAGGGAAACTGGCTGGGCTTCTAAAATTCTGAATCAGAAGATTCCCAAAGCTAGCTTAGGGTCAACTCCTCCATGGTTATATAAATCTTCCAACATCTTCCAACTAATCAGTTTGGTTAACTACTGATTGGATCTGAAAAAAAATATTTATTTAACTCATAGGCGTTCCCAAAACTTCCCCATCAACTGCATATCTGCCAAGGCGCCGAAGCAGGAAGCTTGGTAAAGCACCCAAAATCACACCTGCATGGAGATTGGACCGGTTTTCGAGCAACTGTAGGATAAAAACCAGAGAAACCCAAGGGTTCTGGCTTCTAAAGCTGCAGGATACTGCAGGGTTTTTCCTGCAAGTTTTTCCGATAACCAAAAGAAACGTTGGGGTTCATGGTTCGTAAATGATGAAGAATACCCGAGCAGAACTGCGAGACAATGGGTCCCAGAATCGCCAACAGAAAAAGACGATGGTGGGTGGATAATCAATGCGCATATACGGGTCCGGCCAACAAACATGGGTGTCTAACAGAAGGACCTTGGTGGTATCCAAGCCATTGGATGGATTTTGTTTGCCTCGGTTGTTTCGGTTTCACTTGGATGATTTCTGGTTCTTTCCCGTAAGATGATTTGTTGAATTCCCAAATTTAATATGTATTGATGTTGATACATATAGGAATTGTACAGGCTTTTCGCAGTGCAAAGAAAAAATGGTTTTGCGACTCGGGGCGCAGCAAGTCGTATCGCCACAACTCAATCCATCAATGAGCTATATTTGAGGTTCAAACGGTTTCTTGTAAGGAGGGCTACTATTATTCCCCAAACAACTTTTAGCTACAGCATCCCTTTTATATCCACATTTCTTGATATGTCTTGTTGGTTACATTCCTGGATTTCAGAAAATCTTAGATGCCGTGCAAATACATGTTTATGGTTAGGTCATGTTAGGTCAATATATATATATATATTAAATCATATGTTCCGTTTATATAGCAAACAGATCAAGTATTAAACTAGCCATCCGTTCGGTTTCCTCAGTTTGGTATTTCTCCACCCGCCTCCAACGGTTCCAAGGAACTCATTCAACGTGCCATGGAGGGTTACCTACAGCTGATTCCATGGCCGGGGATGGATATACGTTGACCCTCAGTAAAAGGGAAAAACTTAGGGTAAACAGAAAAATCTGGATCAAGGTATAATGATCTGGATAGATACCTTTCAATGTATGATAAGATTTTGAAACTTTCAGGTAAAAATTGTATCAATGCATATACCGAAACTATCCTAAACTTGAGAAACTGATGCAGCAAATACATCGTTTTAATGGGCTAAATTGAGGGTCTACATATAATCCTGGAGCAGAAAACCACGATTAAGTTGATGGAAAACCGCAATAATTTGGGACAAAACAATGAGTGGAAAATTAGTTCATGTTGCCAATCCATTGATAGATAAAATTCCTGAAATGTGTTCTTTACCTCCGGTACGTTATGTTCTAGACTCGAAAAGTGTTCGATTTCATCTCATCAAAAATAGCAACGGGATGCAATGGGACATCGCCATGTTTGATGAGAAAACATCCTTAAAATATGTGAATGATGGATAAAAAGTGAGGAGTGTCCATTGTCATGTTAGATTACCAAAGGTTCAGACGGGGTTGCAACAAACCTTGTGTTGATTTTCAAGAAAAACATTGGGTAAAAACCATTGGAGGTAACACACTGGTTGAAAAAAAAATCACTCCGTCGTAACCCGCATCGATTGGTAGGGTACCAATAGACCACGTTTTCTGCTTTCCCTTCGCGACTTGGTCCAGAACATGTTCCTTTGTTCTTGAGCGATAGGGCACCTACCACGAGGCGGTTTTACACACATATTTACCACCATTTGTAATTTGTTCATGATTAAGTTATTTGTTTCCTGGAGAACTCTCCGGGTTGCTTCAACCCCTATTTGTTTTGGGTTCACTCACTGTTTCTGTCAGTGGGGATTGTCTGAAAAATATAGAGACCCCCTAAATTCGATGATTCACCATTGTCCGTCTTCAAATGGTATTTTTTGGACACACCAGGACACACCTAAATCATATTGGTTAGGCCTATTTAGATCTTCTATCTTATCCCGTCATATCATATTCCCAGTATCTATTTACATATATATATATATATATAGTAAAACTCAAAGTGTTGACTGCAAGAGCTACACCAAAGTATGAACATGGTGCATTTCAAATGTGTATACATATATATATGTAGACCTATAGTAACTCCCCAAAATAATCAAGATTAGCAATGTATAACTATTCTAGAATTGGTTTTGACTTCATTTTTTTCTTTCCGAGGGTTACTATTCTTATATACCCAGATATCTCATCCGGCAAATTCTAGCATCATCAATCATATAATCACAGTAATTCCCTCAAGTAAATACATACATATACACATATACACATATACACATATGCGCATATACGCATATACGCATATACGCATATACACATATACATATATATATGTATGTATATGCGTATATGTATGTGTATATATATATGTATATGTATATGTATATGTATGTATGTATGTATGTATATATGTATATGTATGTATATGTATGTATATGTATGTATATATGTATATATGTATAAATGTACATATGTACATATGTATATATGTACATATGTACATATGAATATATGAATATATGTATATATGTATATACGTATAAATGTATATATGTATATATGTATATATGTATATATGTATATATGTATATATGTATATATGTATATATGTACATATGTACATATGAATAAATGTATATATGTATATATGCATATATGTAAATATGTATATATGTATATATGTATATATGTATATATGTATATATGTATATAAGTATATGTATGTATATGTGTGTATATTTGTATATAAGTATATGTATGTATATGTTTGTATATATGTATATGTATGTATATATGTATATGTATGTATATATGTATATATCTATATGTATATATGCATATGTATGTATATATGTATATATCTATATGTATATATGTATATGTATATATGTATATATGTATATATGTATATAAGTGTATATAAGTGTATATATATATGTATGTATATATGTATATGTATGTATATATATGTATGTATGTATATATGTATATGTATGTATATATGTATGTATGTATGTATATGTATGTATTTATGTAAATGTATGTATATATGTATATACGTATATGTATATACGTATATGTATATACGTATATGTATATACGTATATGTATGTATGTATATATATATATGTAATGGCTAGTATAGTTATCATATAGCTAATATTACATATTTAATCGTATGAGTATATGATATGCCTGTCATTAGCCGTTCCAATGATATCCCCCCTACTGTCTCCCCACGATTCGCTGGACCAAGTGACCCAGGTGAAGGGAAGTTGCCAGGCGACCAGAATGGAGCACAGCGCCGATGAGCCGCCGCGGAATCTGGCGGCGATCGAGAAAAGCCTTGGGAAATGGATGGATAAAATGGGGGAAATCAAGTATCAATGGATTTCATAGGAAAATCAGCTCGAATTTTGAATGTATGAATTTTCATGGGAAAATCAACTATCAATCGAGAGGAAAATCCACTATCAATGCATATACCAGGAAAAAAACAAAAATAATGTAGGATTTCTCATGGGAAAATCAACTATCAAATGCATGAATTGTGGAAAATCAACTATTTGAAATGGCCAGAAGCTACTTCTAGTAATGGATCATTCATACTAACACTGCAACCCAAAGATGGATATAATGTATTATATAATATTGATGTGTATATATATATATTGCAGACCACAAATATATATATATATATATCGATGGATATACTGTATTGATATGGTATTAATGGGTAATTCTATAAACATATGCATATGTGTCAGTATTTACTCATATGAGTCATTTGAATGAATAATTGTTGGTAATTGTTGGGGGATAAAACACTACTACCCATTAGGAAGTGGGAAATCTTGCTAAAATCACGGGAATATAATGGGTTTATATCAAGTTATTGGGAGGCTCCTATCCAGTACAGTAAATTAATATAGACCCTGAAAAGAAGCTACTGTAATGTGAATGGAAGCTAATCTTCCAACCCACCATTTGGCAAGGTCTATGTCAATTGGAGGGATGGTAAATATCCATTGGCAAGGTTTTGTTAAAACTCCAAATACTAGGAGTATTCATGGGTTGCAGTTGCAGTGCAGTTGGATGCGTTAAAACTAAATATATTCTCAATGGTGATTCTTTTGCAGTTCATAGTGGACATCTAGAAACTCTGGATATCCAGTTGGGCTACAACCAACCATAAATTTTCTGATACCAATATGTGACAAAAACTGCGGATATTTGGGGATCGATTCCAATCATCTGCCTGGTGGCAGGTAGACATGACACATGTGGATGAGATCATCACGTCCATCTCTGAAGGTGCCCTTTTGAGGATTGGGAAAGGACTGATTTTGGATCCCAAAGCATGGGCCATTTTGGACAAGTCTTTACATTTCATGGGGCCATGGGGCAAAAATCGACGAAAATTGGTACCTGCTTAGTATAAGAATGGTAGATGGTCAGTAATGGACATCATCTGCGAATCTATTAGGTTTATCACCGTGGTTATTTGTTGAACCTACAATGTTTGTATCTAGGCCGGGATGAATCAATAGCTACGGGCTATGTACGGTAAAATCAGGCTACCAGGCTACCAGGGCATACCAACATACCCAGATCCAAGATCCAAAAGCCCAGAAAATCTCTGGAGCTTCAGCCATTTTCCGTTCCAAGTCACTTTTACGAATGGATCCCAGGCTTGGTTTTTGTGGGAAAAGATGGGAAAACCATGGAAACCCAACAACCTTGCTGGTGAAAACTGTCGAACCTCTAAACTTTCAGACCAATCGACGGTAGGTTGGGAGTTGATATGACAAATGCTTGGTGTTTTGACCATCAAAATAGAGCTACTGAGGGATGAGGGATGGTGATGGAAGATCAATGGGACATGAACATGTCATCAAATTTCTGGGTATGTCCGTGAAAGAACAGAGACATAGCTGATAGATCATCTATTATCCACCTATATATATATTATGTCTATATATATATAATCATATTGTGTACTATACAATATAAATCAGAATGACGTATATTTACACATCATGATCAATCGAAATGCACGAAATGCACTTGGACCTTCAACGTCTTAGAAACTTCATCTCCGCGACCGTTTGCCGTGGAACACCGATGCCCTTGGGAAACATGGCTGGGAAATCCCCAGCTAAGCGTAGGCTTTAGTGGGAAAACCATCGACCTACACCGGGGATTGTCTACTGATGTTCTACTCATTTTCTATTGATTTTCTACTGCCATCTTTGATTACCAGAGGGTACTTATAATAAAGTGTCTAAGATTGTCCAACTAGGGGTCTTACTCTACTACTCGAGCGATGCATTTTAGAGGGCCCCATCCTTTAGTGGCTGCCAACCAAAGCTCCTAATGTTCTACCATGGTTGGTACAGGATGGGGCCCCCAGTTACAAGTTGGTTGATAAACTCCATTGACTATAGTTATTTAATTTTATTTATAGTTATATCTACCATAAACCATAGAATTCAGCCACTTATAAGGCAACTGAACGCTATCTTGGGGGCCCCATCCTGTAGCCACTACACTACATCCCCATTGGGGGGACCGGACCATGTTGGGATGGCGCCTGATGCACCACAGCAGGGATGCAACCCATGCCTCAGCGGACAACAAAGGAGAATACTGATTGCAAATTGAAACCGAAACTCCTAAACTCTGCAAGAAGTAAGAAGTATCTGCTTTAAGAACTAGTAACTAGGGTAAGATGACCCCAAGCTTAAATTCATGACAAGACTTCTTGTTCCGGGTTCCGGACCCGGGAAAACTCAAGCTCAACTACAATCCTGGCCGATCCTAGCGATTGTAAGCCACTTCTACGGGTTTTCGGAACCCTTCCGAGCCTGTACAAGGTATTCGGGGGTGAACAGGGATATTTCAAATGGTATATATATAGAACCATCATTAACCAGTTGATGGTTTCAACAGAAACATAAGTGTGGTCAATTGGGTCATATTCCCAATGGAAATTAAAGACATGACACCAACCTCCGCAGTCAATGATGGCGGTTTTCCAAACCTCCGATCGAATGTTGGTACCATTTCTTGGGGTACCAATGGGTAGCATTTCTGGCTCATATTGGTGATACCAGGGATGTCTGGTTGGTGGTTGACCTAACCCTCTGAAGAATATGAGTTCGTCAATTGGGATGATGACATTCCCAACTGAATGGAAAAAATGTTCCAAACCACCCACCAGGATATGCTATTTATGGGTCAATGATATGCCAAGAAAGGGGTCATCCCCATTTTGTGCAACACAGCCGTGCAGATCATTATCATTCTCCTGCATGGGTTCTCCACATCGAACTGTTAGTTCACCCAAGGCTAATAGTGGTTAATAATGGTTAATAATAGTTAATAATTGTTAATCATCCATTAAACTGGGCAAATTAGAATAAGTCACTAACCTGAAAGGTTCGGTCATTTAGGGATGATTCCCATAATCCTAACCGTCGGGCCATAACCAAATTCCAATGACGCCGCGACGTGAGATCACTATAATGCACTCAGATATCTACAGGTCGGGCCCGCTAGCTAGTTAAGTTGCATTAAGTATGATTGAGTCGGTTTATTCCTAGGCCAACTATGCAATGTGAGTTAAATATCATGTATATATATAGTTGATCTAAATATAGCTTGTCTTTATAGATCTGAACTAAGTATCTAAGTTATATATCTATAGTTCATGGGCTTCACCAACCAACAAACATAGGGGGGGCACCAGCATCCGCAGCCCAGGTGCCACAGCATATCCCAGGGCCCGTCGGTGGCGGTTCGCCAACCAGGGCTGCTCCAAGGCCCATTCCGCTTCGATCGAACTCAGCGGAGCGATGTGGCACCAAGTTTTTGGTGAACTATATTGTGTATTATTCAATATACTTGATGTATAATATATATATATATATGATATGATATGATATTCATTTATACTTAGTATCACTGAATATTCTAGATGTATATATATAAAATGAGATAATATCATGTATACTAAATATTATATATATTATGTATTATGAAAGCAGAGAGAGTGGACAGAGCAATTTGGATGTTCATCATGAAAATTGGTAAATGTTTGGTCGTTTCTTGTTTGATTCATATTCACATGTTAGAGCCAGGCTGAATCAACCGAAGGCAAACACGAGTCACTCTCTTAGGATCATCATGATGTGTTGGAATGGAAACGAGTATAACACGTTGCTCATGACTCACTAGGATATACATTCTGTAAGCAGCTTGGACTTTCTGTCATTGATCATTTGACACAGGTACAAATTCAGTCTTTTGTCACCCTTCCTACCAAATACTTGCCGTGGATTCCCAAGAATGGATTTCTATCAGCCCTATCAAATCATGTCTGATCCCCATGCACAACCAACCAACAATTTGTTGATTCTGCCATCGGTTCTGCCGATCTGGGTCTGTGACTCTGCCAAACCTACAAATGGTCATCTTGGATTCTTAGGATAGACAATCATGTGGGTGGACAGCCTGTCAAGAAATCTCATTTGGAAGATTGACTGTTCCCAGGAAGAATGGTAACGCAAATTACTGATTTGATGCATTGAATACAACGCCATCAATGTTGTATCTGACTTAGAAGGAAATAAGAACATACGAACATACGGAGTTTTTTTTCGTCACTACCTTTTGGGTGGTTTATCATGGTTTATCATGGTTTATCCTTGTCCTTGGCCTAAAGGCTTTTCTGGAAGTGCCACTGCCACCGGCTGCCACCAAGCAACGGCTGGAAGTCATCCCCAACCTCTGCGGCAAAATTTTGGAGATCCAAGGGATGGACGTATGCACGGGGCAAGTTCTATAAAACTTCTACATAAGTCTACTGATATATATATATATACATATATATATTATCATATATTATCTATATTTATATATGTCTACTATTATTCTTATTATTATTACTTTATTGGTATTATCACCATTAATATTACCATGATTATTATTATTATATATATAATCTATATGTATAAATACTTATACATATATATATATATATGAATTGATTTAATGATGGGGATGTATCGCTTGAAAAACGACTACACAATAAATATCTCACAATAAGTATCTGTAGAAGCATTTCCAGACATGATGTCACGTACCGCAAATGCAAGCTAACCAAAATGCCTGCTTCAATTGCCAGTTGCTGAGTGGCGGCTTCAACCCAGATACATTTCCAATGAACACGTGAACCTTCTGGTTATTTGCAATAACGAAAGGGAAATAACAAGTAAATCATCATGAAACCTAAATCATCAAATTAAATATGCCATTTTCCATAGCTATGCTAAATAACCAATATACATTTCTGAATGTGGCACTCATTCCCAATTATATTTGGTATCCATTGTTAACAAGAATCATCTTGAGGTATCCCCAAGTTTCAAACGGCCCCATAACCAATTTTTGAGGAAAACAATCCATAGTACATATAAATGGACCATTTTCCATAGCTATGTCAAACTACCCGAGGGAAACATCTCAATTTCCCCATCAACAATGGCTATAATCACCACCCTAAAACCAGATAAGCGCCAACAAACCTAGCCTTGTTGAGCAAGAAATCCTTCATGGCTTTGGGAATCTCCCGCAGTGTTTCCACAAATGCTGCAGCAGGCTGCATCACCTGACGAATGAACATCGAAAGGAACAATATCGGATGAAGTTCAAATAGGCGTATCAATATTTGCCTATAAATCTGCATACATTGCTTACACATGTATTACAGTAGAAATATATGTATATATATATAAGTACATAAACATAATGATATATCAATTAGCTGTGTATAGATATGAATATACATATGTATACATGTATACAATATGTATATATATATATACATACATGTACAGTATATATGTATACATATCATACATGTTATATATATAATGTACATGTAGATTGCAAAAATGTACAATCATGTACATATGTATACTTTTCAATCTGAAACCTCGGCCACAGCGTGTGCAAGAAGGGCTAGGGCGCTGCATCCGTTGAAACTGCAACCAAAATTTTACCATAGATTTGGTGCTAATCTATGGCCACCAGACACGAAACACAATTGAAACAATTTTCTTCGCGCTTACCATACCAAACCCTCGGACCTATAGCACACCACAATCCTGACAAAATGTCGCTGCCCTCCGCTGCCGTTTAAACTGGAGCATGCAAGAGCCATTCCAATCTGTATCAACCACAAACTTGGTGCCACCACATACACCAGCTGATTTGCTTTTCCATCTGCACCAGCTCATGGACCCTCGCAATCTTACATTTGTGGCTCTAGCGACACATTTGCTTCCTTTCCCTTCCCTCCTTTCTTCCCCCCATTTCAGTCCTCCGTCCCTCCTTCCCTCCCTCCCTCCTTCCTTCCTTCCTTCCGTCCTTCGTTCCCTCCTTCCCTTCCTGCCTTCTTCATTCATTCCTTCCTTCCTTCGTTCCTTCCTTCGTTCCTTCCTTCCTTCATTAATTTCTTTCTTTTTTTGTTGATCCCTATTTTTGTTTGATGCCTACGCCTATGTGACCAAATCTGGTAACGACATTGTCCTTGAAATTGAAGGGCTCGCCCAGGGGACTTCACCATTTTCGTGATGCCATTTTAGACCTATTTGGATGAGATCCAAGAAAAGTCATTGGATGGTCTCCCCATGTTACCTTTTCGTGATCAAAGCCTGGATCAAAAAAGATCACGATGGTTGCCATGTGTCCAATGGGACCAAACAACACGGATGACTTCAAAAGACCCAACGATATTTAGCAGGGATCATCATCTCAAGTAAGGATGAAAAATAAAACATGTTTAAACATGTTCGCCCCAACCCGGACGTTGCTCCACACTTACAATCGTCATGATCATCGTCATCGTCGTCGTCATCATCATCATCATCTTCTTCATCTTCATCATCTTCATCTTCATCATCATCATCATCATCATCATCATCATCATCACATCAACATCACGTCATGATCATCATCACATTAAGATTCACCACCCCCTATGAACAATATGTTGCGTGGGTTAATAACATCAACTTTATCTTCATAAGGGATCAACATTCGCCACCCCCTATAAAGAATATGTTGGTTGGGGTAATAACATCAGCTTTATCTTCATAAGGATCAAAATTTGTCACCCCCCTATGAACAATATGTTGATTGGGGTAAGAACATCAACTTTATCTTCATAGCCACCTGAAGTCAGACGCGGCGCAACGTCAGGGTTGCAGCGAACATGTTTAAACCACATCTTGATACATCTGACCTTATTGATCTTATTGGTTTTTAAGCCCTTGGGAATATCATCCCACACACCTTCAGATCATTTCAGATCCTTGACACCTTCGCAGTGACCCCGTCAAGTCACTGAGGCAGGTGTAGTGGATTCGGGTCGGCCCTCAGGTCAGCATATATGAGATTCTCGTTAATCGGAAAGCCCATGGATATCTGGTTAGTTCATGTTGCTTCATGTTGGTTCACTGAGTTGGTTGAAGATGTTTCTCCATGACTAATTCTCCCTTCAACCAATTACGAGACTGGTGGTTTCAATCCACCCTGTGCTGAAAAACAACCAAACATCGGGGCAAGAACCTGCCATTCGGGATGGAACACCAAATGAACCAACGGTACGGTGCTACCCCCCAGTAGGCGATTGAGTCCACCAACTGTAAGTGGCACCAACGAAAAAGAGATCGGAATAGTTTTTGTGGGGCCACTCTGGGTGGGTGGTATCTGGATTCTAAGTCTATATATATATATGTATACATATCCCCCTATGGATCCAACTGGATAAATGATATCTGGATTCTGTGTCCATATATATATGTGTGTGTATACACATCTCCCTATGGATCCAAATACTACCTGAGAAGATATAAATCAAACCGGAGTCATCAGTCATACTTCCCCAAAAAGCTACGACTGGATCCACAAGGTATCAAGGTATGGACATTTCAAGAGGGAAGCTCCCTGAGTAACCAGTGGATTTAGGACCCATCCCAAGGATAATCCCCTGCATATGAAAGAACTCAGAGATCTCAAATAACTATCAATACCCATTAATAACTAATAACCATCAATCACCATTAATAACCATCAAAAACCATCAATAACATCCTGACATGGTCAAATGAAATGGTCAACTTTTTTGCAGTCCTCGGTTGTGGGGCTGAACAGCCAACATTGGCATACTGGCATCAACCATCATCAACCGAAGCGTTCATCGCCACTTGGGTATGAGGGTGATCCCGGGTTGTGAAATCCTTTGGGAGGAGAAGTATCCTTTTGTTTTTATGTGCGAAAAATAGCCATGGTCTAACCCACATCCCAAATAGGTACTCGATTTCATAAACCCCAATTGGGAATGGTTTACTCCCATATTCTTAATTTCATAATATAGTTTAATACAAAATACTACACCTATTTTCGGCGACCAATCTTGGAAGTCGATCGGTCCTCCCTGCGGCGCCAGGGACGGGATCGCGCAACTGTTCTAGGCAAGCCTGGCCACGCCCATCCCCACGGAAACCGGGGGGCTGGCCAAAAATTGTCGCTGCTCCAAGTTGCGATGGGATCTATGGGGAAAAATCTGGCAAAATGTGGCGACTCTGAAAATACAAATGGGTGTCCCAATGTTCAATTTATGACAAATTCGAACTACTAATTATTGTGTCGTTTCCGATTTTGTTGGTGGGGTCTTCCATGCATCATCCAAGTCTCAGCCCGCGGGCGAGAAGTTTGGTACAGCAAGGTGCTCATTCAAAGGGGAGCAACCATACACGTCAATTTTGTACGGAACAAAATATTGCCATGTCCAACGGCTGAGATCTCGTGTAAAGATGTAGTTCTTTTTATTTTTCAACCGTTCTATTACCATTCCAAGTCAAGAACGTGCATTTCTTGTCGTGGGGGAAATATCACGAAAACAACTTCGGTACAACTTGCAAAATCAAGATAGACTTTGACTGGCGATTTCAAACATCCCACAAATGCATCGTTCCAATCATGGACAACCAAACAGCACAAGTTTCACCAGTGGATGCACCACGAGGAAACAAACAACCTCTCTGGTTTCTTGCTTTTGTTTGAGGAGGCACCAAAATCACCATGTTCCACACATGATGGATTTTCAATGGTAGAAGTAGACAATAATTAACAACAGTTAATATTTGTTTATACGTGTGTATATCATTTGCCTTTGCATGTACTGTCGTTATTTTGTCCTTGGTCTTCCATGGTCCATCTCCCCACTAAAAAATCATATGAATGCCAAGTATGCCACATCTACACAGCCACACTTCCCATATCTTCCCATTAGAAAAAAAAATGCACGGACATCCCACTTTGCAGCTGATTGCCGCTGCTGAGAAGTTCCCGGACTATGAAACTCAAATCATTACCCTTTGGTAATTTAACACTGGAAAATCACCACTCTTACCTTTTGAGTAGATAAATCAACCATAAGTGGGCCATATATACCATAGCCATGTAACAAATTACCAGAGGTTTTCCCAGATGGTGACCATATCGATACGTCCAAGCTAAGCAACCATCAAAGCGCCATCGGCCAATTCGGCATGTTCCAAGCCGTCGATCACCTAAGTTACAACTGCCACTTTGGATCAAAGGGACATATTCCGAAGAATCCCTGAGGTGTAGGAATGTTGCATCATTAGAGCTGAGTATATGCGATGTATTTGGATCCAGAGGGCTAGTTACTTCAATAACCATTGAACATGTTTTGTGGTGAACGAAACACTGACTGCATCTGAACTCAAATCCGACTTGATGACGCTTGAAATCCTCGGGTTCATGATTCAACTCCCAATGTTCACAGAACAACTCGTTTTTTTGCCATGATTTTTGTGGTGCAAGTACTAAACTAAACCATAACAAACCCCCCATCGTCCACAATTCATCAGTATTCATCAAAACAAATCTGTGCTACTAAGACTTTGGTGCCTCCCATTTTTACTAATCCCATCTCCTAATATAAAGCACCCTCCATTGTATGGTCCCAGAGATGTGGTTTCGTCCGAGGCTAAACCATGGTTTATGGATGGCGTTTTATATGACCGAGAATGGGTTTTGTATTCAATGTTTTACATGTATAAATATCATATTATGTTTGTATAATAAATTAATATACACATATTAAATTCATGTATGGCCCGTATGGCTACAGAATCAATACTATGGGATATGTGTGCTAATTAACTATATCTCTAAAAACCTGTTGATTTTTCCCTCCCCCCATAGACCCACCACCATTCCCACGCCAGCGTCACCGCCGCATCTCGGTCTTCCTGGTTTTGATGGAGCCACCAGGGCGCCGTCAAGCCACGCAGCGCACTACCACTGGCGGACTCGAACCTTGCTTGGCGTTATCTGAATGGGATATATATATACATATAACATGTATATAGATATATATAATGTATATATATTTTTATAAATAAATAAATAAACAATGCGTATATATATATATAAATAATGTGTATATGTATATATAATGTATATATATAATGTGTATATAAATAAATATAGTGTTTGTATATAAATATATACTGTGTATATATAAACATAATGTGCACATATATATATATGCATGTATACATGTAGTAAAATAAAGGTGATACATGATATCTAAGCATACGGAAATATGTCAATATAGTTGTAAACTGTGAATAATTTTATATCAAAAATATGGTAATGATCAAAATGTGGGAATTAAGATAAAAACCTGCTAATAGTGATAAAATAGCAATCAAAATTACAATGGTTATTGTAAACTACTCCAACTGTCCATCGAATATATCTAATGTATCCAGAATAACTAACATAAATACAATAAGATAAACCAAACCGTATATATATATATAGATCTCAGTCAGGCACAGTAAAACTAGGTTACGGCGCCTGTAGAAGTGCGGCGCTTTCAGCGTTTCTGAAGGTGGACAATCGTCACTCTTTTTTGATCTTCATGCGAGACGCCATAGTCCAACTCTGCTGTTGTGCTTTTTACAAAGCTTTCCTAACTGACCCCATAGGGAGCAGCCAGGAGCGGACACTTCGTGCAACCATTGCCATATTAGGCAGCGTTTCATCAAGGCAGCTGTTGTTCCAACGAAGATGTTACAACGAATCAGGAAAGTTTTGAAAGTTGACTGACGAAGATGTTACTGCGTATCAGGACCGTCTTGCAAGTTACTTGAAGAAGATGCTACAACGTATCAGGAACGTCTTGCAACTTACTTGAAGAAGATGTTACAACGTATCAGAAATATCTTGCAAGTTACATGAAGAAGATGTTACTACTTATCAGGGACGTCTTGAAGGTTACATTGAGAAGAGGTTACAACATATCAGAAATATCTTGCAAGTTACTTGACGAAGATGTTACAACGTATCAGGAATGTCTTGCAAGTTACTTGAAGAAGATGCTACAACGTATCAGGAACGTCTTGCAAGTTACTTGACGAAGATGTTACAATGTAGCAGGAAATCGTTATTGACAACGCAGACAACAGGACGCTATTACACTCCTACAAGCCTCCCCCCAAAAAAAAGAAACATTTGCAAAAGTGACAACAGTCCCCCCCCGCCACGCGCGCCGTCACCTAAAACTATTCAGTGCTAGTTGTGATATGTTGTGATATACCTAAAATAAAAAGGAGTATCTAAGAATTGAATTATGGGAATATTGGAATATTGGGAACATCACCATTTAGTGCTAATTATTATCGCATATGATCATGTATCACACGGAGCTTGTCATATATAACTAACTCATGTCTGTTATCATCATCATACGTCACAAATCAACATACTAACTAATGAATTCAGCAGGTGGGTAACTAGGGAACTAGGTGGCTAACTAAGTAACTAATCCACCAGCCAACCAACTGACTAACCAACCAACTAACCAACCCACCAACTAACTGACCATCTAACTCACTCACTCACAACAGGAAATGATATTCTGGTAATCAAAGGAATCACGCCATTATGATAATGTTTCAATGGGGAGATAGTACGGACTTTATCCATTTGATCAATATTGGTCAGTGGGATAACTGCAAATAATTGTCAGTGCTGTTACTTAGAGTGCGTTCCATGTACATACACATGTGACATGTGTATATATATATATATTTATACATATATCAAACATACATATATACATATGATTCAATATGTAATATATAAATCACACATGTATAACACAACACATAATCTGTAAATGTAAAGAAAGCATATCATACCTACGGGATGACGGTGTTCAGTTCAGACTCTGATGAAAGGTTCTATCGTAGGGACCAGGGACTACCTAATTTTGACGACCCTCTGGTAAACATACAAAAATCTATTGAAAATCACCATAGAAATAGTGGATTTTTCCCATGAAAAATGGTGGATCTTTCCATAGTTATGTTAAATTACCAGAGGGTACCTAATATTGGAAAACAAACATGTGATGCTGAAGTTCATGACATATTTCAAGTAGAATTAGATACATATCATACTGCATATCACTTTCATTTGCAGTAGTGATATGTAGTGATTTTTGGCTATTTATTTCATGATCCGCCCCGATGCTTTTCTTTTACCACAAGCTGTCCAGGGTATTGAAATGGATGGTTCTCCTTTCATTGAGCCTTATTCCTGGCGAGGAAGCAGCCTTTCAGATGATATACCTCTGGTAATCAAACATAGCCTGCTGGAAAACCCATCATTTTCAGACAAATTTACCGACATCAATTTATAGTGGATTTCTGTTGCCACGTTTAATCCCCCGAGGGTTCTGGATATTTTTGGTTGGGCGAACATCTTCCAAACCTCTTCCATCCCCGAATCGCTTGAAAGTCAAACAATGCTCCAAACAAAGCTGGAAAAAGAACCGACTGTTGACGGCAAAAACACAAGAAGTTTTTGATGAAGGTTGTCTCGAAAAAGCTGGTCTCAAGCATAAACCGCGAAGTCTCCCACAATGGACTATGATAATCTCCAAATATTCATTGGGAAGTATGCCCCGCGAACTAATTATCAACCAACACCAGCTTAGTTTTGCTACCGCGCAACTCCTGCAGAAAAACTGAAAGGTCCTGCGGAGCCTGGCGGTGTAATCAACCCTGGTTTCCGGGATTTGGCTCTCAAAGAGGTTTTGTTTTCTGTCTTGTTCAACAAATATATATATATATATATTAATTACTGGTTATACAAACAACAGTAGTGAATCTTGGTTATACAATGGTTGTATCGAAAATCCTGGTACTTTGTGGAACCAATCCTGTAGTCAACGTCCATGGCCAATTGTTGTGAGTGGTGCGTTAAAGACATCAGCGCGTGACCCGTTTTGGCGCCAGCTTAGAATGGTCATGCACTTGATTAATTGCAGTTCATATATTTTCGGGTTACCATTTTAGGTGCAATTTATAACCTAATACTCACTCTTTTTTTGACCCACTTCCAATATTTCCTCAACGCCTTTGGGGCCCAATCCCATTCAGCTCCAATATGAAGGGGCTCCAATCACATCCGAAAACTATGGTATTGGCTTTAAAATATGATCCTAAACGGAGGTGATTGGATTCCCCATAATCGCAACACCCACAACTTCCAGCCTGGTAGTTCGGGGATTTGTTCTCACGGTATTTTCCTGATATCTCGTTTTTGGCATGTTTTTCGGGGTGAACCAATTCAAGTATAATATACAATATAATATATATATATATAATATAATAAAAATACAATATAATATAGTAAAAAAACAATATCATGATACAATATTTAAAAAGTATAGTGATATGATACTATATTATGTTAAATACCAAAATATAATATAATATAATGTAATAATTTAAAAAATATATATATAATATAATACAAAATATAATACATTATAATATACCAAAATATAATAGAAATATTACCTGTAAATAAAATATACGTATTAAAAAGATATTATTTAATATAATATAATAGTAAAATTTAACATGAAATAACACAAAATAATATAATATAACATAATATGTTCTAATATAATATGACCAACTTAATGAAATAAAAACATATAATATAATAATAAAACTATAATAAAACAAAAAACTCAATAAATCAAAAAAATATTATATATTAAATATATATATATATATAAATATGATATAATACAATTTAATATTATTTAATATAATATAATATAATATAAAGGTAAAAAAAATATTAAAAAAAATGAAGTATAACAAAATATACTATCAAAATGATATAATATCAAAGGTTTAAAATGTAATTTAGTGTTAAATAACTAAATATATTACAACAAATCAAAAATATAATAATATACAAAATCTTTTGACGTAATATATTATAATACAATATAATGCAATATAATATGCGATAAAACAAAAATGATAATATGATAAAATAAACTGCAACAAAATCAAATAGAATATAATGCAACAAAATATAATTTAATGTGGTGCATTGTAGTAAAATCAACTATAATATTAAAAAATAGTTATTAAATAAATAAATAAATATATATATATATGCATAAATATATGTATATATATATGATTTTTCATGTAAACTTAAAATATCATATTATTATGTACACATTCCAATTGATAAGATCTACTTTTCATCTTCCACCATTGCTGACCGCCCTGGCAACGCAACGCAAACGCAACGAAGGCTGCGCCTGGCCGGGATGACCCCGCAACCAGCTGAGCGCAGCCAGAAGGACAGCCTGCACGGAGGTTAGGAGCTGCAGAAGGCCTCGGGGCCAATGTGAAAAGGTGAACGGGGCCCCCAAAATGACCAGCTTTATAGGGAAGATGATGGTTAAGTGAGAATAAAATTTGGAGCTAGCCGATTTTGCGACAAACCCATATGCCATGAAAAGATTGATGGATATTGATGGTGAACTAGGGTGAACTAGGGTGAATTGGTGATGATGTATGCTAAGTGGTGGGTTTGATGGTATGTTCAACCATGAAATTGATATCATCATCTATAAATGATGATATTTCATCATTGTCATGGGGAAATCATGCGGATATCACAAATTTAAGTATCACCGGTGGCGCCACGCGTGGAAATCGCGAACCGCTGGTTTGGTTCACGAGGCTAGTTATTGGGTTTTTGATCAAACTAATTAAAAGCATGGGGATCATGGTGACAATTGGATTTGCATCTCAGAAATTACCATGTGAAAACTCGGGGAAAAATCATCTATCAAACCAACAGTGCGGATGGGGCCGAGCCAACTACTCACTACCCGTGTACCTGTAGGGTTCTATGGACCCAGCCTCAGCAGAGGAACAATGTCCTTTTGAGAAACCGAAGGCTCTCGCACAACAGCCATTTTCTCATTGTATATATCTGTCTACTTCAAACTGTGTATATATATACATATATATATATATATATCATCAAAGGAAGATTGCTTGGAAAACTTTCGCGTCACGGACGATGGTCATGGTTAGCATTCACACCATCTTGTCCCCCACATCATCATGTCAACCATCAAGTAGTTGGGAAGTGTAACAACAGTTCAGGGTGCGAATTCACGGGCGAAAACACTCTCGGGTGCGAAACCCTTTGTGTTTTCGGATAATGCGGCTGGGGCCCATAGGGTCTCTGTTTCCATGGTTGCGGGGTTCGATCTGGGGAAGTTGTCGACAAAATGTGCACGAGACTGTAGCGAGAGCCAGATTTGCACTTCAAAGTGTTACAAAACCGAGGCTTTCGGAGCACTTTTGGCAGATGAGATCGGCAAAATGTGCGACTGCAGCGAGAGCTCGATTTGCACTTCAAAATCGCAAAAAAAAAACTGGGGGGAGTCGGAGCACTTTTGGAGGATGAAGTTGGCAAAATTATTTATTCCTTGATTCGTTTATTCACTGAATCATTGAGCCATTGACTTTTGAAGTCGTTGAATCATTGATTCACTGATTCCTTGATTCAGTGATTCAATAATTCACTGCTTCATCGATTCAATATTTTATTGATTCACTGATTCATTGAATCATTGATGAAGCACTGATCATTCATTGGTTCAGTGAATCTGGGAATCATTGACACATTGACTCATGGCTTCCTTGGTTCAATGACTCACTGAGTCATCGGTTCGTTGGTTCATTGGCTCACTGAATCGTCTGAATCGTTCAATCATTGATTCATTCGAAATCGTTGACTCACAAATTCTTTGATTCATTGAGTCGCTAAACCATTGAGTCACTGATTTGTTGGTTCACGGTTTCACTGATTCATTGCGTTGTTCAGTCATTGATTCGTTGGTTCATTGCTTCTGTGGCTCGCTGATTCATTGACTTGTTGATCTGTTGATTCATTGGTCCACTGATTCATTGATTCGTTGAATCCTTGATCCATTGGTTCATGTAGTGAGATGTGCAATCACTTCATTGTCATCTCCACAACCATGTGCTCATTCGTTGATGCACCTCACTATTGCAACAATGCATGGTTTCTGCATCGCAAAAACTTTCCTGTAGGCCATTGATTTCTTATAGCCATCTCATATTTTCGAAACTTCCGCCCCAGCATGGGCCGGGCACTATCTGGTAAATATATGAATTAGGGGGCATATCATAACTCCCTTTTTTTGCTAGTATCCCGGTTGTTCCAAAACCACTTGGTGGAACTATCTGACATGACTCTCATGTGCAGTACCTATTAGACATGGCCCATTTTCCACGGCAAACTGGGTTACCAAATGGTACATAAGAATCCATGGTTTTAAATGGCATAATGTGGTAAGCTGGTAAACCCAATAATCAACCATCGAGCCACAATAGAGGTTCATTATTGGGTACACCTTTTTTTAACTGGGATGATGCAAAAATGATCCAACAGTGGTTGGTTAACGGGATGGTTTTTAAAATTGGGTTTACCACATTCCCACGGCCATTGTGCGACATAGCCTGTTTTCGGACAAACCCAACATAACCCAACGCATCATCTAACGCGACTGAGAAACCATGAAGCCGCCTGCAGGAAAAAAGGACCCTTGGGGTCATTGGTGGGCAACACGTCCGAGAAGGACATATGTAGTTGCGAAAAGAAATGCTATATGGGTTTGCCCAGACATTGCTGATACCCCAATCTATGGTAAGCGTGATGGAACATGACAATAAACCATTGGATTTTGGGGTGCCATATTTCGAACAAACCCAAACGATGATTCAGGATTTATCAGCATATCCATAAAAGGTCTGAATCCATCTTCAGACTCAGGGGCCACAGGTGGCCGGCCATTTTGGATATGTCAGCATCCAATGGTCCAATTTTGGGGTACAGCACATATTGACCCATCCCCACAAGCAAAAACATAGAATGATTACAATGATAGGCTGGTAGATGATATATGTCATCGCAATCCGGGGAATCGCGAAAATATTTTGTCAAATCATGTAAACCCCGAAAACAAATCTATTCGTATACAGTCTTAATCTATTCGTATATACATATAGTTTTAATACAAACTAAATCCTGAAAGATTGATGACCATCCCAAACAAACTGGACAAGGAGACTTTCAAGGCACATGAGCACTACCCGTTCAAAGCGCGTTCTCACCAAAATCCCAACCGCGGCGAGATCACCAAAGAAACCAACAAATCTACGTTTTATCCAAGTGATTCTGCAATTTCATGCAAAACTACCAGAAAACATCGCTTAAATCCCATGATAGTCTGCTGGGTATCAAATTCCAGAAACCACGCCATTGGGTACAACCAGGAAAACCTATATCAGCAATAACGCAGCCATTAAACCCAAATTTAGCTTTTTTTCGGTAAACGGGTCTACCCATCTGAGCCTTAATTAGACACACACTAGAAATCAGTTTTATATCATGTATTTGACAAAAAAGCTGCTTGTTTAGCTGCTTATGGGGGTCTTTAAAGCATCTAAGGTTACCCAAATTGCTTCCCTTAAGCATCTCTGCCCCTTGAAACTGAAACTACCTTCTGGTGATATTATATACATGGCCATGGACAATCCCAACTTGTAAAGTGAGATGTGGGATAATAATCTACAAATGGGTGAGTTTCAAAAACTTAGAGAATAAGTAGACTCATTGGTTGCTTCAACCGTTGAAAAAGTCACTTGAGATGATGCTCCCAACCATCATGTGTGGTGAGGCTGTTGCTATCTGCACAGATACTGTGACTGATTCATGACGCACCAACCAAAATATGGATGGCCTATGCTGCTTCCAGCAGCACGTTTCCCACATCGCTTCTCGAAGTTGATTCCTGAGGTCGAAGATGTTGGGAAGCACCAGCATGATGGACCCTTGAAAAATGGTGGTGCGCAAATCCCGGCTTTGGATGAAAGTGAAGTCCCTCATTTTTGGATGGCCCATGTGTGAATCATAGTTTACTTTAGTGGGACTTATCGGGGGGAGGAAAGAGAGGAGAGGAGAGAGGAGATGAGAGGAGATGAGAGGAGATGAGAGGAGATGAGAGGAGATTAGAGGAGCGAAGAGGAGCGAAGAGGAGCGAAGAGGAGCGAAGAGGAGCGAAGAGGAGCGAAGAGGAGAGAAGAGGAGAGAAGAGGAGAGAAGAGGAGAGAAGAGGAGAGAAGAGGAGAGAAGAGGAGCGAAGAGGAGCGAAGAGGAGAGAAGAGGAGAGAAGAGGAGAGAAGAGGAGAGAAGAGGAGAGAAGAGGAGAGAAGAGGAGAGAAGAGGAGAGAAGAGAGGGGATGAGAGGAGAGAGGACGGGAGAGAAGAGAAGGGATGAGAAGAGAAGGGATGAGAGGAGAAAGGAGCAGAAAAAGTGCATCTGAAACCGGCATGTTGCCTTTTTTGGTTCTCTCTCTTTCCATGATGGGTAAAGATTGATCCAAGGTGCAGTTTCAGACATGCACGAAAGAAGTTGCGGAAACTACCGCTGCCGGATCTCGCGGGGTGCCGTTTCCATCAATATACGGAACCAAGTTGGCACCTGCAACTGGATGATTTTTATTTGGGTTGCCGTGGAGCCACGTGGCACTCATAGTCGTTGGAAGACAACATCGCCTATCAATCTATGAGGCGGTAACTCTATATCCGTTGCCTCCGCGAGCGTCTCTCACGAAGGCTTCGTTTTCACAACTTCAACTTGTAGTTGTTGGAGGAGGTTTTTAATATTTGAGACTTCCGCACCCGGGTACTATTTGGATATTTGGATGTCAGACTGGCTGGAAATGATATTTTTTTAAAAAAACATATATAAATCATTACAAATCATTACAAACCCATATAGCCGTAGCCTCCTGTATTCAAACATGGCAATGGAAAATCCCCGGTTTTTAGATGATGTTCACATTAAGACCTTCATGATTGCCCCATGCAGACCTCCATTTGTAGGTGTTTGTCCTATCTGTTCTCATGATTTTCCCGTATTTTCCTATGATTTTCCTATGAATTCCATGCAGAATTTCCCCCAGCGCTCCCGCCGTAAGTCATCGTCGCCCAGCTGCTCCAGGTGGAGACTGGCCGTCTTCAACATCTGCAAATGCTGTCCTCAAAAGCGGCAAGGTAGCCGGACACGCCTCAAAAACTCCTCATTAAAGCAGGAATATCTTTGAAAATCCCCATGTTACAATTTCAGGATGATTGAATCTTAAAATAGGTTTGATGATGTTTATGTTATGATATGTTAAGATAACCAGTTTTATAAGTCCTTTGACTATAGTCCTAACATACAATAACTATATGACTATATGTTAGTTTTACTATCTATGTATGTATATATACATATCATAACTAACACTATGGATTCAAATACTTTCTGAGAAACTACTTAGGCCTCCTAAAATGGGGGTACCCCCTAATCATCCATTAAAATAGGATGTTCATGGATTTTCACTTATAAACCATCCAGCTATTGGGGATCCCCATTTTAAGAAAATCCCATATGATGTGATATGATATGATGTAGTGGGATCTGATGTAACCCTCCATGATTTCACAAACCAAAAAAATGAGGGAAATGGATAATTTTAAGCTACCCAAACGTGTGTAGAGAACATACAGCCAAGCTGACAATATATATATATATAATATGGATTAATATAGGGTTTTAAATTATACGTATGTATAATTAAAGACTATACATACAAAATATTGCCAAAAAAATCGAGACAACCCCATAGTCTTCCATTCGTTGCATTGCAACTTTTCCTGCATCTGTTGTCGATCGGTCTATCCCAAAGCCATTGCTGAAATCTGTGCCTGTCCCCACCTGTCGACAAACATTTCTGCGTGCCGAGTGGCCCAACGCGTCCTGGCATGCGTTGACCCACAGTTTCCGGCGTTGACCAGTTGCCCCGGGCAGCAAACTCATGGATTGCTTGTATTTGGTTCAATTGGTATCATGATTGGCGTCTAAACCCAAAAATGAAGCAGTAAAGATTGGGGAAAAGTACGAAAAAGTCCTCGCAGTCATCGCTTACACAAGCAAGTGCTTGAACTCCCATGTCTGAACAGTTCATCTTTTCTTGGATTGCTATTCATGCAAAACCAAAGAGATTGTCATGCTAAGATCAAAACTAAGATCAACTTAATTGATTCCCTTCGGGTGTCATGCTAAATGCATCTAAATGCTGATAATGCAGGGTGCCTGTGTAAAGGACATGCGTTTTGTTGAATGTTTGATGTTTTGAAACGAAGACAGAACAGTAAAGATATCAATGCGAAATCACGCAATCTTCATGGATACCCTCTGGTCATTTAACATTTAACATAGCTATGAAAATGGCGCTTGAAGGTAGATGATGTTGGCATATGTTGGCATATGTTGGCTATTAAAATGGGTGGTTTTGCATAGGCACTGTTACAGTATAGAATTACATGGATTACCATCTTAGATTTCCATGTGGTTTCAAGCCATTTCAACAGCCAGGCCAGCGGGATCCTATCATGAAAACTCACTTTCTGGGCAAATCCTAGATATATCCGTCATGACTTCGCCGTCCGCAAGGCTAGCTTTGTAAAATACTCAGCCCATGGAACGACATAACCAACTTCTTTGAACCACTTTCTATGTTGCACGGCTGAGCAAAGGCTGTTAAACCAGACAAGTGGCGATAACTTAGATCCAGTCAAACCAGCACTTTCGACCAAGGATCTAAGTCAAAGTCTGCAGGTCGACAGCTGAAATAGTTTAGCAGCAACTTCAGACTTCGCCTGCAGTCCACATGTTGCTTTGTCCAAAATGGAAGGTGCAAAACTACCAAATTTAAGGGTGTCTGTGTATATATGTATAATATATAATAACACATACACATACTAGTAGTGGGAATATCTGCCCAAGAAACACATGGGGATAGATCATAAGTTCTGATCACTGTGGAAAAGGCAAACATGTTGAACATGTTGCATTTCCAGACACAATTGATGGATATTGGTGGAAAATGCAAATGGTTCACTCCATATTTGAAAACCAGACCTGGAGTATATTCAAAGGACTCCAACATTGAGTCGTTGTTTCCTCATATCCTGTGCAAAGTGCTCCATTGCTTGGTCGGTGATCAATTAATTTTTGGTCATTTAATATACACAAATATTTGAATAGCACCATGTACATGAGTATACAGCCTGTATATACAGTATATACTACATGTATGTGCACACAGGTTTTTGTACTTTTCAAAATTCGCAGAAATTGCCAAAGTTGGGAAATTTTCCCCTCACCTGCTGCAGAATCTCATGCTGAATTCGAAACGTATCCACAAGGAATACCACCAACTTTGCTAAAATAACCCACGTCTCTGACACCTCTAAACCTTGAAGAAAACAACATGTTTCTTGTTCAAAATCAGACTGTTGAGTTTCTATATAATTATATTGGCTTGATTTAGCCACCCAGAATAACCATGAATTAATTTTAAAAAAAGTCTCACAAAGACTGCCGTTGTCGGGTCGCCCACTAACTTACCAACTGGGAGAGAAAGCAAATATCCCATTGATGGTTATGTCCTTGTTTCTGTTAGTGAACATAAATTTTCATGGTTAATGTGCACTAGCTTTACTTGCCTGGCTCACCATCAGTTAGACCCCTCCCCAAAAGGAATCACAGTTTCTATCCACATTTTCTGCTCACGAGTAAAAATAAGATGACCATCAAACATGTATATCGATGTCCTTTGAGGAAAACCATGTTGTTTTCCATATCTATGGTCTCCCTGTAGGAACATGATATGGGAATGCTGATCATTGTCCGATAGGGACGCAAATTTATGTTATCAAAAAATTGGAATGCAAATTTACGTTTTCAATATTTTCAATGTGTGCTTCAGTCAATACAAACTTAAATACCCTCCGGTAATCAAACTAACATAATAGCGATGGAACATGACCCGTTTGCAGATAGTGGTTTTCCATAGCACACCATTGGATTATCAGAAGTTAAGTTAAATCCACACTGGCTGATGGTGTCAACCCCCTGAAAATATACTCGTCAGTCAGGACTATCTTCCCAGTTCTATGGTTTAAAATATAATGTCTAAAAACACCATCGCGGATCATCATTTGATATCTCTATATATACCATATATATATATGTAACATGTATATCTATATACAGTATACAAACACACACGCATGTATGTATATACCCGTTTTAGATCCTTCAATCCGCACATCTCTGGCCATTTTAGATCCCTCCCGGATTCTGGGGTCCGACATACCCAAATATCATTCTGTTGGTTTTATCTATATATAATGTATATATATATATAGTCTCTGGCTTAAACCCAATTTGGTTGCTGAAATTTGCTAATACCCCTATTGCATCCCAACATTAGTTGGCTAAATCCCTATTATATCTCCATATCCCGGTTCTGATAGTCCCGAATCTGTAAAGGGTAGCTTAATAACACCCAAACTAATCATCAGACAACAGGGGTTTAGCAGCCACTGCTCATTGATTGGGAATTCAACCAGTACTAACCAGTAGAAAGTGGGTACCTTGTGAAAATTATGGGACTATAGCGGGATGAAATATCAATTTATTGTGGACTACCACTACTAACCATTAGTAAGTGTGGAAAGTTGATGGGGATATCCATGGAGATATTCAGTGTGATACTACTGATAACTATAGTTACCCTCTGGTGAACTAACATAGCAATGGAAAATGGCTATGTATAGTGGATTTTCCCATGAAAAATGGTGATTTTACATTGCTATGTTAGTTCACCAGAGGGTAACTATAGTTATATATATAAAAAAATGGTTGATCAAAAGTGGCTGGGAAATCCCCTTATTCTAAACGAAGCTTTCGAGAGCCTCGACAAATCCTTTTGGAAAAGTTGTCATGGTGGATCACCATGAAATCACCAACCTATAACGCCCATAAATCAAGCATCCTAGGCTTTCCAGGTCATCAACCAACCTATAAATCCACCATTTGTCTGGGTAAATTATAATGTTTCACTAACCTGAATAGTTCGGCCATTTGGGTCTGATTTCCCTTATAAAAACCATGATGAACCAGGGTTGAGAACAGGTTTCGGTCGTAATAAATCCACCATTTGTAGATGATTTTCCTTCAGAATGGGGCCCCACAGTTATAAGTTGGTTTATAAACCCCATGAATACCATAGTTATCTAGTTCGTGAAATATCTAAACCAGAGTTAATTCAGCCATGTATAAACCAACTGAACGCGAGCTGGAACGGGGGGGCCCCATCTTCCTAGGCTTTCCTCATCCACGAGGTGATTCGAAAAGGTACCAGGTCTCCAGCGCCATCACGGCCACATCCTCAGCCACTTCATTGGATGCCAGCCATGCGCGGCCCAGCAAGGTGATGGCCTCCAAGCGATGAACGAATGGGAAATGGTCATGAAATTTCTATGTCTGTCTATATATATATATATATGTATAATGTATATGTATATCAAATATATATATATATATATGTATGTATGTATGTATATCATATAGATAAATATATATATACATATATATAATATCGATCTAATGTTCAAGCAATCAACCAATCCATCCATCCATCTATATGTTTCTGTATATTTAGGTTTTAAGTAATGGGAAACATACCGTGAATAGCATGTGTATCCTTTAAAAATAATCATCCTGATACCACCAAGAAACCAAAAAACAAAAAAAAACATCTTTGAACAGAATTTGAATTCTTGGTTTCAGGGAAAAGTTTTGATTCTTTGGTTTCCCTGGAGTTTTTTTGGTTTCTTTGGGTTTCCTCGAAAGGGAGTTTGTTTTCTTTGGTTTCCGGAGGTAGCAAGCTCCAGAAACCAAAAAAACTCAAGGAAAATGTTGGCTTTGGAAGTTAGCAAGCTCCAGAAACCAAAAAAACTCGTTTTTTTTTTTGTTTTTCAGCATCCAAAACCAAAAAACCAAACACCCTTTCGAGGAAACCAAAAGAAACCAAAAAAACTCCAGGGAAACCAAAGAATCATTTTTCATTTTTTTTCCCCTGAAACCAATAATTCTGTTTCAAAACATTGTTTTTTGGGTTTTTGGTTTCTTGGTGGTAGCCTGTCTGAAGTCACCCAACTCCAAAAACCAAAAACACTCGAGGAAAATGTTGGTTTGGGAAGTCAGCAAGCTCCAGAAACCAACAAGACTTATAGAAAAAAAAGTTTTCTTTGATACCATTGCGCTGTTTAAAGAAAATACTTACAAGAATTGCTAGGTGAGGCAACTATGAGAGGTTAATGAGCAACTAAAGCAACAAGACTTCATGTTAAAGCTCGAAGAAGGGGGGTAGTATTGGAGTGGGGGAAACATGTGTATATATATATATATGTTTATTTATGTACACCTTGATATAACATTATTGTACATATAATCTGTGATTTTTTCCAGACATGTTTCTTTCGGCCCAGGCACAGACAAGGACAAGGCGACCAAAGTGAGGTACAGGTAACCTCAGAACAGTTGGAAGAGCCATGGATGGCGGCCTAAACCAGGGACTTATCCTAAGGAAACGTGACCGTTTGTTGTTTTTTTGGTTCTGGTTACTTTCCATTTATAGCAAAAGACAGATTAGACTAGCTATCCAAGGTTAGGGGTGATCCAAGAACAATTAGTGGAGGCTGCAGTTTTCCTGAATTTAAGGATGAAAAAATGGTGGATTCAAATGGAACATGATTTTCAGCAAGTTATGAGCACGATTTACCCGCCAAATTTTCAGGTTGTAATCCCCCGAAAAAATGAGTGAAAAACCTCAGGTCCAGGAACATGTCAGGTTGGACCTTACTGATGCCAGATCCCCAGATTTCGAAGATGAAGCTCCAAGAATCAACAGCTGATTTGAGGCTTTTCGATAGAAATCTATGACAGCTTTCGGAGGTGGCAATGTGGCCAGTCTGGTTTCGTTATACATACATAGGTCTGACGGTCTGATGGGTGGACGTAGTTGCAGCGGACACTCACTGAAACCCCAAATCCATAGATATTCTAGGCCTATTATTAAATAAAAAACCGTTTGAGGGTCTAATCTAAGCCTAGCACATAGAACATGACCAAGAAGTTTGGGACGTTGTTCGTGCGCGAAATTAAACTCAAGAAAAATACCCTTCTAAGTGGGTGTCCGGCACTATATCGCCAATGATCAAAAATGCCAACGCTGCAAAGTCACAGAAAATGATGGATGTCCAATTGATGTGTTCCTGGCACACTGCAAGTGGGAAAGGGGGATTTGCCAAATACCGGTATAGCCGGTCATCGCAAACCAGTTTGGTGAAGTCCATGAATTTTTAGGGGGTTGGTCCGATAAAGTTCCAATAAAATTCATTAAAATGGAGGAATAACCACATTTTTTGTTCCATAAAAATCCATAAAACACCTTTTTTCTCGGTTTTGAATGGTTCCTGGTAGATCAACGCTGTCTCTTGGGCTTTGAAGAAGCCGGCGCCGCTATCGTGGCTGTCGCTATCAGCCTGGGTGCTGGTGATCGGATCTGTTTCACCAAACGAAATGGTCTATGGATCAAGAAAAATCATTGACTGATATGAATTCAGGATCGGTTTGTCCACAAAGTGGGCTTGAACCCCCAACCCTTGGAATTCTGCGCTCGTTCCATTTTTTGCAAATGCCACATGGTTCAATGTACCTCCATGGTCATCCAACACCTTCAAATCCCAAGAAAAACTGTGGTGTGATGAACATGTGGCCAACGTTTGGTGCATAACTAGTTGGAACCATCAAGTTAGGCATAGATGGGCCAAACTGGCCAAACTTGTGTACCAAGTTAGGTGGGATGGTTTGCCACTAGTTGAGAGGCTTTGCCCCGGGCAATGATGTGCAGGAACACTTCCAAGTCAACATGGCCAGGGTCCATTGCATTTGTTGCATCATCATCATCATCATCATCATCATTATTCATATTCATATTCATAGTCATATATTATTCATATTCATCTTCACATATTGTTCATATTCATCTTCACATATTGTTCATATTCATCTTCACATATTGTTCATATTCATCTTCACATATTGTTCATATTCATCTTCATATTCATCTTCATATTCATCTTCATATTCATCTTCATATTCATCTTCATATTCATCTTCATCTTCTTCATCATCAAAATGGATTAACATGGACCAATATCCCATTCATATCCCATTAACATCCCATCAGTTGAAAACAACAATTATTGAATTTACCATTAACATCAAATGATCTATATAACTTAATAATATCCCATAATTGACATCAAAACATACCACTATCATATCAACAACAATTGTTTGAATCAATGATTACCCTCTGGATATTCAACGGAGACGGAGCGAACTGTTTTTTTTTTTAATATAATATATATAATATATAAGGAAATCATCGTTTTCACCATCTATACATGGGCCATCCATAGCTATGTAACTTCTTTAACCAGACAACCAACAAACCACACCTTCGGATGCCCCAGATCCGGTGAGGCTCCCCACGCCCAAGCACATCACCTTCGGTATGGGTATGGGTCAAAATTAAAGACCTGGGGACCACAGATTTAAGATGATTTAAGTTTAGAATTATCCATCCAATTTTGACGGTACCCAATAAATAACCCATACCCACATGTGTACAATTCATGATATCAAAGATTAGTGATTAAGTCACATCACATTTGAATATATACGAGATAGTTCAAGTACATTATTAAACACCACCCAGAAACCATGGGCAAATAGGGGATGAAACCACATACAGCATCTGGCACCATAGAATGGGGGATATGGGGGTGTTTAATGCTAGCGGAGTGGGAATTACCAGAAAATGAGTTATCTTCACTCAATCGTCAATTGACAATTGCAGGTTTGTGGCATTGGTTTTTCTGTACGTCTTAAATCTTTAGTTTCTCTTTATTTCAAGTAAGATCTTTTTTACATGTTGAATCTTGACTTGCCCTTCAGCTTATCCCGTCCAAAATGAAAATCGAGTGTGGTCTGGGGAGCTGATGAGCGGACCGGACATGAAGTGACTTGAATGTAGTAACCATGGCTAGACTGTTGTCCGCCTTTTCCAAGAGTCCTAGATTTATGCGTATATGCGTGTACAATATATATACCATCTGGTTATTTAACATAGCCATGGAACATCACGTTTTTTATTAGGTAAACCATCTATTTCTATGGGCCATCTATACCATGGCTATGTTAGTCATAACCAGAGGGTAGTTGTAATTATATAGAGGCGCAAATCAATTACGAACGAGAGTAACCAAGGAAAGGCCTGTGGGTCCCCGAGCCGCCAACCCTGGCCCTGCCGAGTGGCCAAAAGTGGGGAGAGTGTGCCAAAGAAGAACCTGGGCCAGTCGCCGTTCGAAAAAAAAAAAACGCTCCCCTTTTGGGAAGTTTCCCAGCAGATTTTCCTGACATGTCACATAAAATCTGGTTGGTGGTTTCAACCCCTCTGAAAAATATGAAAGTCAGTTGGGATCATTATTCCCAATATATGGGAAAATAAAACATGTTCCAAACCACCAACCAGAAATTGTATAAGATTGTAATATTTGGGTTCATCCGAAAGATTAGGTGCAAATGAAATAGTGTCTCAGGGATTGTCATCATGTTCTCTATGAAATGCTATTTTTGGGCGGTATACTCCATGTTCAAACATACCCGTTTTGCCATAGGACAACCATGTTGACATAACACGATATTCCAGGTTGTTCAAATGATCCTTCACACTGGATGTTAACCAGGATACTGAAAAACACACTTTGTTGATGGGGATGACCAATTCTAAATAGTAAGTTTAATTTAAAACATTTTAGAACACAATGAATCTTGTGTGGGTGAACCACAAATCAATGGTCAGGGCGTATTCAATTACTCCGGGGTGGACGTTAGTCCTTCAATTCATTGCTGTTTTCTTAAACCCCTGTCAACAGTGTCTATTTGTGTTGCGGATACATGCTGGTACAACCCACATTACACCCATAGAATCAAAACCGATAAACAAAAAATCTACATCTAAGCGATTCCAGGCGTATAGTTGCCTTCCATACAAATTTACGCAGCGTTCAAAAACTTATGACAGTCCATTATACTGGAGGCTTTTTTATCAGGGATTTCCATAGTGGATTGTGATCATCCCTAATATCATCTAATATCCCTACTGGTTGGTGGTTTTAACCATCTTGAAAAATATTAGTCAATGGGAAGGATTATCCCATATATTTTGGAAAATAAAAAAAAATGTTTGAAACCACCAACCAGCCTATAATTGGATGGTATAAATGTCTAACACCTTACAATCATCAACTACCAGGGGCTTCATTGCCCTGTGTCAGCGATGTTTCACCAAGGCACTTCTTCAAGTCCTTGTCGACTTTACTCCAACCAATGCCCTGGGCGAGTCAAGTCGGGCATCAGGCCGAGATCAGGCCGTCCGGATATGGGTTGATGAAGAATCGCATGGTACTATGCTGATTGGGTGTTTTTGGGGTACCCTCTGGTAAACATACAAAAAACTATGGAAAATCACCATTTTCAATGGGAAAATCCACTATAAATGGTCATTTTCCATAGCTATGTTAAATTACCAGAGGGTATCCCATTTCAGAACCCAGTTCTAGATCACTTTTTGACCACTCTTGGGATTTTCAGCAATGAGTTCTCATCGCAAAGCATCAATACGCTCAGGTCATCCAACATGGCAATAAACGCACAAAAAAAAATGTAGGCGTGTATTGTGTACTCATATATTCCACAATGTGGTAAACCCAATTTCATCAACCATCCCCAAGTCATCACCAATTTTATGGGCGCGATTTCAACCATCCCCAAATGGTAGGTGGATCCAGTTTCCACGAAGCTTTTCAGCTGCCACAATTGTTTGAAGAAAGGGTATCTAGATGATGTGCACGCCAGTGAATAATCAATGTACTGTATATATATAATTATTTGATATTATTTGTATATGTGTATGTGTATAATTGTGTATATATGTAGTGGTTTATCACTAGATTCTAATATGTTCTAGCCATTGTCGTTGAGCACATTCCAACTGGGATGCATAGTCAAGCAGCCATGTTATTCTGAAAGGTTCCTAAGGGTCGTGGTCCAAGCCTGGTGATGCGATTTCATCCACCCGGGCTATTGTCAGTCTCAACAAACGTTTGCGACCGTGGCACATATGCAAGGACAAAGACGATGGCCAGCCATTTCCACTGGAAGGAACCTGGGACCGTCGGCATTCTGATGCCATCCGATGGTTATGTTCATACTCCATACTCATTTTTCCCAGGACAGATGAGATTGATCGCTGCCAAGTTGTAAACTATAGTTGATTAGAATATAGCTGGTGATTTCAAGAGGTTTTATACAGTAATAGACTCAGCAGGAAACAATGCCTGGAAAAGCAACAGTGTTCGTCCAAATTCATCAGAAACTATTCCTTGCACATATCACTACAGCAACAAAAAAAATACCAGTATCATCCTATGCATCGTCAAATTTGGATATCCTGCGCAAAAATAGGGAGTCTAACTCCCCAACTCCCCATAATCAATAATGAGCCATTGACTTAGCAAACATCGCTAAACCACAATGTTTGCAAGGCTTGCAATGGCTTGCAATGGCTTTCGTACCCATGTGCCTTGGAAACAGACATTGCTGCGGCGAAATCCGCATGGTTGGGTTGAACCATGATCCAGTCATGTTTCGCGACAGTTTCAACCGAATCACTCACAATTATTAATGGTTGATATCGTGCCATATATATATATATATCCCCATAGTTTCTGGTTAGTACCCTCATGCATGGTGGGTAAATTTGGTTTTGTCTGAAATGCAGGAAATACCCTCAGGTAATCAAACATGGCAATGGACAATTCCCCCCTTTGTAGATTATTTTCACATCAAATCCGTTTTCCGATTGGCATGTTTGATTGCCAGGTTCCATGGATTGTCCCTTCGTTTTCTTTATATCAACAGGGCCTAATCTGTTCCAGTGCTAGACCCACCGTGGACGGACACAAATACATTCATCTTGTCCAATATCGCCCTTTATCCCCATTATCTCCACTAATTTATATCCCCATCACTATTACCAGACTATCCCTCATTCACTAGCCTATACCAGCCTGAAAAGTTTGTCCATTTGAGGATGATTCATGATGATGCGTAACCATCATTATGGTTTACTGCACATGAGGTCATTGTAATTAACGCAGTATCCCCAATATATTCCCATATCCCTAAATATCCATAAATATCCTATAATAGATATTTCGTTTGTGATCTAACTGGTGATATTGGAATATATTGGGACCAGTCTATTGAATACATAGAGCTCCCCATTACCACAAATCCAAAAAATAAATGGACACAGTGATATTTCTGTGATCAAATTTCCAGATACGATCCTCTCTAGAGAAAATTGATAAACCAACTACCCAGTTGTATAATTGTCATCAAGTCAGTCAGCTGAGTTACACTCTGGTAATCAAACGAAGCAATGGAAACAATCATCAAACATGATTTTATGATTGTTATCTGGTTGGTGGTTTCAACCCCTCCGAAAAATATGAAAGTCAGTTGGGATGATTATTCCCCATATATGGAAAAAAAAATGTTCCAAACATTTCCAAACCACCAATCAGTCATGTATTGTTACCCTCTGGTAATTTAACATAGCTATTGAAAATGGCCATTTATAGTGAGTCTTCCCATTAAAAATGGTGATTTTCCATAGCTATGTTAGTTTACCAGAGGGTATCCACTATTGCATCACGAAATCGCGTTTGAAGCCCGCCCGGTCCACGCGGCCCGGTCCACGCCGGCCGACTCTCACCGCGCGTGCGCTCAATGGCCTTCATCGCGTTCAGGGCCAAGATCACCAACACGGCAGCCACGGTGCCCTGCAAGGCGTGCACGGCGATCCTGAAATGCCCGGCACGACTTGCGCCAGAAGTCTGGGATGTCATATGATTTACCCTCTGGTAAATTAACATAGACCCTGGCAGATAGGGGTTGGAAGATTAGTTTCCATTAAAACTAGGCTATTTTCAGGGTCTATGTTGATTTACCAGAGGGTAATAGGATTTGATGTGATTCAACATCAAACTGGAGAGACATCAAAAATTGGGAAAGGAGATGATCAGCCATTGTGAGGTACAACACACAAAGTATACAGTTTACGATTCGGAAAACATGGACAAAGCTCACAATTCACTCGCGTAACATGTGGATGGCCCAGGATGGCCATAGGGATATCACAAAGTTGTGGCTTCATCCTTTGCCCAAAACAAGTGAGATTCACTAAAGTCAATCTCAGCTCGATTTTTTACCTGTCAAAAACAGTCAATTTTTGCAAGTTCCAAGTTCCAAGAACTGTTTTTTAAATCTTACCGTGTCTCACGTGTCCAGTGCCGGTAGTAGTTTTTGTGATTTTTCCCTGGTGGATGGGTAAAAATCAGCAGGATGGATCGCAGTAAAAATTACTGGTTGGTGGTTAAAAAACCCTCTGAAAAATATGACTTCGTTCGTCAGTTGGGATTATTAAAATATATTAACATTATTCCCAACTGAATGGAAAGTCATCATCCAAATGTTCCAGTCACCACCAAGCAGTAAATCTGTGTTTCCAATGAATTTCGATAGATAAACTGGCCATGTTTGGCACCAAGGATTCAGTGGCCAAGTCACGAGCTTCATTGTTCATCCCTGGGGAATGTCACCAGTTCCCAGTGGATCCAGTGGTGTCATAGCACACTGGCCATGAATTGCCATATTTTAAGATATTTATGAAACAAATATCATCATATTGAACATATTTTAAGATTTTATGTTAAGAAAATCAGTTTGAATCATCATATCATAAAACACTGTCATCATATCCATATATCTATTAGACTTTTATCATCATCACCAGTGGTTTACCATAGGTTTACCATAGGTGGTCCCTCCGGTGGTCCACCCACATCTGCTACGGGCGTCTGAATCCATCCGCCTAGGCTTTTCCGCAGCGTACCTGAGGAGCAAAGAAATTACGAGATCGAGATATGAATGGTTTATTTATCTGGGTAAATTATATATAATATTTCACGAACCTGAAATAAGGCTATCTTGGGGATGGTTCCCCTTACTAACTATGATTATAGTGATGCCGCAGTGAGGTCGTTATAATTTACCAAGATTTATGTTTATTTCATGGAAAATCCCGGAAATGGATGATGAGAACTGGGGGTAGCCCTATTTTAGGAAACCACTATAGTTAAAATGTGTTTAAATGATTTACACAACCAAAGCTGAACTCAAATAAGCCAGAACTGTAATCTGCATCATCTACTCATCTACCGGCATATGGGAAGATGACATCCTTTTGGGCACACCCCTGAACAAATTCCAACGACTGAATTGAGCCGCCAACCTGTCGACAATTCTCGAAATTCTTTCGATTATCTACCTATGAAGAATATACGTCGAATTCCACGTTGATCTGGTTTTTTCATGTTTTTTCCCTATATGTGTCTCCGTTCAACTATCTTCAATTTCCATGTCTGTTAGTTCGTTTTCGTTCGTGCCATCGCCTGAAAAAAACATGGCCAACCTGAGATACCAATCCAGTCGCTACCCATAACATGACCATTACGCCGTTCAGTGCTTAGATCATCCAAGGCTGGATTCCAGAAACCACTGTTTCCATGAATGATCCATGGATATCCCATAAATCCATAATATCCCCTATGGTTTTTGGATGCTTTTGGTGAATTTTCGAATCTTGTTGGAGAATGTTGGAGAAATAAATCGCCATTTTTCATTGGTGACCCTCCAGTAAACTAACATAGTTATGGAAATCTATGGAAGCCATGGCCATTTATAGATGATTTACCTAACAAACGAAATGGTGATTTCCCATACAGGATGGGGCCCCTACTTATAAGTTGGTTTATATATAAACCCCATGAATACATATGAATACCATAGTTATCTAGATTTATCTAGTTCGTGAAATATCTACCATAAACCAGAGTTAATTCAGCCATTTATAAACCAACTGAACGCGAGCTCGAACATCCTCCGATCGTCCCATACTGCTTCCCTGCTGTGGTGCTCATGTACCACAGTGGCAGCCAAACATATACGGCCTCCGCGGCGAAAACACTCCATACGAAATCGAGCTGTTTCCCTGAAAAAATGGTGGGTTCATCATCAACAATGAGGATATTTGGATAGTGAATGGATTGGTTTAAGGGAAAATCTAAAGGGTATTGGCTGGAAAAAGGGCTATGTTAGACCTATCGAGTGCAAAGACACACCTCTGAAAGGATGCTGTCAGTACTAGGCGGTGACCGATAAAGAGTGTCTACTTGTCTAGCTAATAGAGGGTTCTTCCTCCATGTTATTCTGAAATGGAGATTTCCATTTCAATGGGGGTACCCCTTAAAATGGTTGGTTCATGGAAAATCCGGTTATCAAAAATAGATGAGGCCACTGGGGGTACCTGGTAGTCAGGTTTTACTCCCAAGGTCCCATGTTCCCTTCAACCAGCCTGGAGGTTGATGGCTACACCAGCAATCTGCTCAGGATGCGTCAGAGGTACCATCAAGAGGAGGAAAATGACGCCTGGAAACCGGAGATCCAGGAGATCCGTTGAAGCCATGGATTTCACCCCTTGAAGCCATGGAGAAGTTCAGGTTCCAAACGAGCTGGCATTCTGACAGCCTTCCCCGTCAGATCAATAGTTACCATGTATGAAACTGCTTGGAATTGGTGATGCAGTTAAGATGTCGTTTGAAACTACCCACCAAAAGATTGGACAGAAAAATCACCAGAACAGGAACATGGGTGCTGGTAAATGAACCATACTTTCCCAGAATTGAGCATAACCACTAGGCATTCCCAACAGTTTGCCACCTCGCACATGGTTTCACCCAACAACATGAATCCAGCGTGAACCTATGGACGTAGATTCTGTCAGATTGTCAATGTGAGGGCTCCCAGTGATTCACAGGTGTTCAACGACTTGCAGAAACAGCAGGGGATGAGTCGAGTTTGCTGCAAAAACCAGTAGATCTGGCTGAATTCCGATAATTCACCAACCTGACATAAGATCTGAAGTAAAGTTGAAAAATACCCTCTGGTAATTTAATATAACTATGGAAAATCACCATTTTTTATGGGAAAATCCACTATTTCTATGGTCATTTTCCATAGCTATGTTAAATTACCAGAGGGTATGTGTTTACTTTTTTTAGAAGTTCCATGAGGCGATCGTCATGATTATCAAACCAGCGACCTGTTGCAGTACTGTATTGGGTACATTTCTACAACATGGGATGAACCCGACCATTGAAGTCTAACAGGAAAACTACAGTACATGACAAACATGAATAAACTTGGATAAACCATGAAATTTGGGGTACAAACAATCAGACACACTCATATATATATAATATAATATAATGTAATATAATGTAATATAATATAATATAATATAAATTAACATATAATATAATATAGTATAATATAATATAATATAAATTAACATATAATATAATATAGTATAATATAATATAATGTAATATAATGTAATATAATATAATAAAACATAATATAATATAATATAATATAATGTAATATAATATAATAAAACATAATAATATAATATATTATTATAACAATAATATAATAAAATATAATGATAATATAACATAATATAATATAATACAATATATTATAATAATATAATATAATATAATATAACATAACATAATATAATATAATGTAATATAATAGAATGTAATAAAATAAAGTATAATATAAATCAATATGATTTAAATTAACATATAATATAATATTATATAATATAATATAATATAATAAAAAATATAATAATGATATAATATAATAAAATAAAATATTATATTATATTATATTATAATATCATATCATATCATATAATAATATAGTAATACAATAATATAGTAATATAACAATAATAATATAATAATAATATAATAATATAATATAATATAATGTAATATAATGTAATATAATATAATGTAATATAATAAAATAAAACATAATAATATAATATATTATTATAATAATATAATATAATATAATATAATAAAATATAAAATAATATAATATAATATAATATAATATAAAATAATATAATAAGAATATAATACAATATAATATAATAAGAATATAATATAACATAATATAATATAATATAATATAATATAATATAATAAGAATATAATATAATACAATATAATATAGTAATATAATAATATAATAATAATAAAATAATAATATAATAATATAATAATAATATAATAATAATATAATAATATATATATACATATGTGTTGGTTTCTTGGCCACATTTCATGACCAGAAATCTCCAGCCCATTCGCGGTCCTGAACGCAGCGCAAGAGTAAAGTCCCGGGCCTGGGACCATCGATTCTTGGGATATCTCGGAATCTAAGATGTATCCCTCTTGTTATTTAAAATATGCTATGGAAAATGGATGAAAATGGCCTATAGCTTCAAATGATGATGATTTAACCTCATAAAATGATGATTTCCTTACATGAAATTCCCAGCGGATGCCAGCTTTGATTCGGCGCAGGAACGAGAGAACATAGCCGAGAAACAAAAACTCGCCCACGCGAACGGAGCAAACGGATGCTCCTCACAAGCTGCCAGGGTGGGTTGAGGACCCAACATCTATGGTTTCTATCATATGGAGGTTTCCATAAATGGCGGTACCCTAATAATTAGCTGGATATGATATATATATATATAGTTTATAATGGAAAAACCAGCTATAAATGCATGATTTGGGGGTACCCCTCTTTCACAAAACCTCGGTATCACCATTGACCATGTTGATGGCTTAAACTCCTACATATAGCTGTAGCTCCTATAACCATGTATACAGCACTGTTTTGATACCCCCAATAGGAGACCATCATTAATGACTACATCCAATGGTCTCGTTTGGGGCTATTTAGTATTACAATCTTAAATTAAGGGGAATGGAGACTTCACTAATTATCTTATATCCATCTATGGATCGCTGGTGTGTTGTTTCACCAGTTTCGTCAACCAGTATTTACCACGCTATTTACCTCGGTATTTACCAAGGTATTTACCAAGTATGTCATCTATACTGACAGTGCCCCCCCACAACCAAGCTACTGGACGAGTAGGAACAGCAATACGAGAGCTGTGCAGATCGTGTAGAACCACATGGGAACTCCCAGCACTGGAGGAACCTCTCTGGGACTTGACCATGGCAGGCCTTGATGAAAAAAATGGGGTTTGAAACAGGTGATGTTTTGGTAGTGTAGACAGGACTTGAATGTAAGTGGGACGCAGAAACTTCAATATGCATGGCTAATTATACTCATCTTTATCTTGGAGCAAACTGTAAAAAACAAAAAATCCCTAGCGGGATGACAAATGGGGATGGGTCAAAACCCTGGTACCCCTGTAGTTCACATCAAAATAGCTGGGATTTATGGATGTTCATCCCACTAAAAATGGTATTAATAGGCATTGATCCATACCCAAATCATCCAACATCATCCAACGATCAAAATTCAGTGATTTGACTCACATCGTGCTTCAAAACCTTGCATGTTGAGTCAGGCGGAAGGCTTCATCCCCAGGAAATCTCCACAAAAATGGATGGTTCCAAGGGTTCAGTGTGGCCATAAAAACCAGATTTTGATGCGTCTCCAGGTTCGCACCAATTAGGGTCAAATAAGGAATCACGACATGTAGAGGCGGCAAAAGGTTTTTTTGGACTGTGGGTCTAAGACCTCTTGCGAAACTCTTGTGAACAACGTTGAAGATTGTTGAAAGCAACTTCAATCAGAGAACCATGATATCTAGCCAGGAAATTAGAGATTCACACATTTCCAATGTGGTAAAGCCAATTTCATAAACCATCCCACATTGACGTTTGTGAAATTGGGTATACCTCTATTTGGTGACTGGGATGGTTTATGGATGTTTCTGGCATCGGGTACTGTATACATCATTAACCCCTGTCCCACACAGAATCACATACACTCCGGCAACCAAACATGGATTGGATATTTCTCCATTTATAATTATAATCATTTCATCCATGATTTTCCCAGTTAGAAACCTTCATGACTAGTTCAGGGATATCCCATAAATTCCCCATTTTGGATGGGAAAAATCTAGTAAAATCACTCTGTTCAAACCATGTTCGATGGTTAAATTCACCATTTTCCCCATTCTCACCAGAGGCTTCCCCCGCCTCTGTCGGCGCTGGTTCCACATCATTTGCCACGCTAAAAGCCCGCCTTGGGCGGGAAAGGCAAGTGCATAACAGTTGGAAGTTCGTAATGATAATCTATATCATATTTCTATTCTCCAAGTAACACCCAAAAATGTTTTACCCCATAATAAAATGTCGGGTTTGTTTGTCTATCTATATATATATATCATATATACTTATACACACTCTAGTGGAGATACCTATATGCCATACATATATATATATATATATACATTTGGTGGTATAATGTTTTATGTATAATGTAAAATTGTGTGCATGTATGTATGTATGCATGCATGCATGCATGCATGCAGGTATGCATGTATGCATGTATGCATGTATGCATGTATGCATGTATGCATGTATGCATGTATGCACGTATGCATGTATGCATGTATGCATGTATGCATGTATGCATGTATGCATGTATGCATGTATGGATGTATGGCTGCATGCATGTATGCATGTATGCATGTATGCATGTTTGCACGTATGCACGTATGCATGTATGCATGTATGCATGTATGCATGTATGCATGTATGCATGTATGTATGCATGTATGCATGTATGCATGTATGCATGTATGCATGTATGCATGTATGCATGTATGCATGTATGTATGTATGTATGCATGTATGTATGCATGTATGCATGTATGCATGTGTGCATGTATGCATTGTATGCATGTATGCATGTATGCATGTGTGCATGTATGCATGTATGCATGTATGCATGTATGCATGTATGCTACATGCATGCATGCATCTATCTATCTATCTATTTATCTATCTAGCTATCTATCTGTCTGTCTATCTATCTATCTATCTATCTAATCTATTCATCTATCTATCTATCTATCTAGCTATCTATATCTACCTATCTATCTATCTATCTATCCATCCATCTGTCTATGTGTCTATGTGTCTATGTGTCTATGTGTCTATGTGCCTATGTATGTGTATATGTCTATGTATATGTATATGTCTATCTATCTATCTATCTATCTATCTATCTATCTGTCTATGTGTCTATGTGTCTATGTGTCTATGTGTCTATGTGTCTATGTGTCTATGTGTCTATGTAACTGTATATGTCTATGTATATGTATATGTCTATGTATCTATGTATCTATGTAGGTATTTATGTATGTATGTACCTTTACGTGTATATATATAATGTATACATATGTAAATACATAATTGCATGTGCCTACAATTACAGCTTTTGTGTACGTATCATACATATTTACTACATATATACTATATTGTATACATCATATACATTCAGCGCATACAGTATATATCATCCACAATTCATGAACATGGGAGATGCAATGTAGCTCGAAACAGCCAAGTTGCTGCACCGCTGAAACTGGCGTCAAAAGAACGCCTCAGTTCGAAACACGAAACGAGTCAACTGTGCTGGAAAATCTATGAACATCCACAAACGGGAGAAACCCACGGCAAGAAAACATGAGATGTGAACGTTATTAACAGTTAATATACAATGTTCAATAACCATCATATGTATATATATATATAATATGTATATCTATACATATGATGTATATACATATAGAGCTTATTTCTTGCCAAACATGAGAGATGTCTAACTGCCAGGGTGGATGTCACAGCGTAAACGATCAGCAAATGGGTTATAAAATGCATAGAAAGAATGAACATCAGCCATGTGTTTCCGTTTGTCAATTTGTCAATTTGACAATAAGTTCAGTTTATCATTTGAGATCAAAACATATTCATGTATAATTAATGTATAATAGATATAATATACATATTCATGTTGTTCTTGTTGTTTCCCCGCAAAACATAAATCTTTAGAAACTTGACGTATGATCATCCATTCGCTCCATCCATCATACCCCGCTTGGCGTTCCCGGCGTTCGCGGCGTTCTGGTCGCATGGACTACAGCAACGCAGGCACCGTTTCCGTCTCTTTTGGGTCGCGCTCTCAACCCGTCATGGACTACATTGCACAAGCAACCTCAGCTGTTTCCCAGAAGACTGACTGCAAAGATCTCCGGAGTTCCCATGTAAATTTGGGGATAACAATGGGGATTTAACATGATTCAACTATTTATCCATCAACAATATAAGGATTGTTTGATTGGGATAATGCGGATTCCGCATCAACAATGGTCACTACTTGACCTGGGATTAAGGGGGTAATGGTCATCCCATCAACATGGGATTCTAAACATGATGCGTGTACAAAGCTCTGTTAATGGATTGATGACCATCCCAGGACCGGTGTCAAGTGATCAGAGTTCCGTCCAGAAAATCTACCGATTTGAAACGGAAGAATCGATAAACCCCGGATTCATCCGTTGATGTATATAGCTGGTGGTCAAAATAGTCACTGACCGAAATGGATAAATAAACACTGACCGAAATGGATAGATAGCAGGGTTTTCTGGGGTTTTCTTAATCCTGGCTTAACATTATAGAAAAGGGGATGTGAAATCGTGGCAAACCATTGGCGATCAAATTGACCAATTTATCTCACCAAAATAATTTTCTAGTGACCTTCCACACAAGACGATACGAGTCGTCCTGCACTCCAAGTTAGTCAGTCCGCTAGCATAAGCAACATGACCTTTCGAGCAGGTGCAACACCATGGCCCAACGCCCTTTGTAGTGTTGGCCAAAAACCCTTCTGGGTTGGGTAAGTTTCCACTTTTTGATGACTGACTGCCAGAACTTTCCATTTTTTAATGAGCACATTCTCCTATTAAAGATTATATATATATATTATTTGTTGTTTTCTTGGTGAGTTAGTGCTTTGGTCGTTCACTGCCCATCACTTCTTTGGGATCTCCCAGTTGGTGAATTCCAAGTCGCCTAGACGAAACACCGCGGCATGGCGAGCCGCCGGGCTTCCACCGCGATCCAGCAGTGGCTGAGAATTCAATGAATTTTACCCTCTGGTAATTTAACATAGCTATTGAAAATGGCCATTTATAGTGGATTTTCCCATTCAAAATGGTGATTTTCCATAGCTATGTTAAATTACCAGAGGGTAAGTGACCAAACTGTGAATTCAAACCCAAGTCCGAAGGTCAAGTTTACGAGGTTGACCTGGAGGGAAATGATTAACGATGATGAGGATTTAATCTATATTAAGAGAGTTATAGATATTTAAATGATCTGTCACTTTAGAATGCCATGGAAGATATAAGCAAAAGATAACAAAAACATACAAAAACTATGAATGTGGTAAACCTTAAAGCATAAACCATCCCTAATTTTCAAGAAGGTGGTTTCAAATACATTTGCTTGGTGGTTTCCACTCTTTGCAAGAATACCAACCATTTGAGGACTGCTCCAAATCAGGATGTTTCTATTGAATGACACCACCAATGAGATTCCCCCGGTCAAGACTTATAAATGAGCTGGTTTTCCAGATATGAACAATTGGAGCCTTACTCGGCGTTGCGAGCGGATCCACGTGATAAGGATCGGAATCGGAAATCAGACATTGGAAATGGGGGAATGGTATGAATGTTACAGGAACTATTCCAATCAGAATCAGAATTAGAATGCAAGTAGAACCCGCACGAGGCAGGTGGCGGAAGTTTCCATCAGCTGGAAATGTTATACTGTAGGAGTGAAAAACAAGTTTTGCCTACAGGAGTTTTCGCTTGCCCATTGCTCCTTCCTCTTGGCTTTAAACTAAACAGGTAGATATCGTTTAATGGAGACTCAGAGACTGCTCACCTTGCTCTCAGTCCAAAGCCACCAGTAATTAGTTTCCAAGGATGTAAGCTTATTGGCTTATTGTTGTCCTTAGCCTTCCAAGGATAAATCAATTTGCTGCATTGACTGGTCCTTGGTATAACTTTTATAACGCCTCGTGATAATTGATGAGAATTGCTGTTGGACATTGATGATGTGGCTCTTGAGAAAACTATGTATCATTGGAGTATGCCTCCCAGCAATTCAGCACGGCTTGCCATGCCCAAGTGCCGCTACTCTGCCGAACTCTATATACTCTACTCTACTCTACTCTACTTCAGGAACATGCCAACAGGACTTAATGATTTTAATTCGGAGTTTCTCTACGGAATTTCCTTTGATAAGAATCTTTCTTAGTGGAAGTTGTACAACCAGAATGTGTTAAAAAGGCACCAACCTACCAGGTGCTTCGGTCCATGAGGCCTCGAGCTCCTTATCCGGATTTGGGCCTAGCAAACGCTTGAAACGCTTGGGGGTCGTGAAAAACATGGAGGATGCTGTGTCTCCAGAAAACTTCGGATGAAAATAGTGGGATGAATGATTCCCTTGGCTTTATCACGTTAGAAAATACCCTCTGGTAAACTAACATAGCCATGGAAAATCACCATTTTTAATGGGAAAACTCACTATTTCTATGGCCATTTTCAATAGCTATTTTGACATAACCAGAGGGTAATGTTTCATGGATGCCGTGCACACCTGGAATCCCAGGGATGTTGTTCAATCACTGGTTGCTTTGGTTCAATGCTTAAATTGGTTGAACATGGTCGAATTCCCCACAATCCCCACACTTGTTGTGAAAAAAAAGTCCGTGGTTGCTTGAACGCACATGACAATAACGACAACATACTCATGTCCACACATTCTTGGGGTTTAATATCGCTTGGGCTTTTACGTGCTAGATAATAATTCTTGCTAGTGAAGCTTCAAGTGTTGTTTGTCAAAACCTATTCTTGCCAGCTTACACCCTTTTCATTCCTTTCCCTGTCAACTCCAGTTTATACAAATATACAATATGTTTCTAGCTACTTAGAGTAAATGGAGTAAATCTGCATGTTGACATATTTTGATTATGTTCGGTTGCAGTCAAATCCGTAAATCCTCATGTCGCCTGCCTTGCCACGCAGTGTTCAGGCCTCCCAGGGGTGTTGGCACCTGACAAGGACAGCTGGCTTTCTATGGGGATGATAATCTTAGAAGGATGTGCATCATGGATCGGGGTTCAGATAAGGGGGGAGGAGTTGTGCAGATGGTTTTGGTAGATACAGAGCGGAATGCATAGGGTGCACAACTACAAAATGCAAGTGCATGTACATTTTTTTCAGCTACAAAATGAAGAACATAACTCTTTCTGGCTCGGAAAAAAAATCAAAACCAGTACTACAAAATCCAATGCATCTGAAATCAAAAAAATAGCTGAACGTCGGAATTTCTAACATGATTTTTCCCAATGACATTTTGTAGTTGGGTCTTTGCCATCCAAAGTTCCGACCAACATAAATTCGGAGAACATTTTGTAGTTGTCAATGATTGAATTTAGTTGGATCAAGTGTTGACCCCGTGCAGTTTGTTAGATGGCATTCTAATGCTTCAATGCTAATGAAATTTTATGTTGGATGCTTCAACTAACTCAACATATACAACTACAAAATGAAAATGCATGATTTGAAAGGAATCAACTACAAAATGATTCCAAATACAAAATGGGGGGCACAACCCCTCCTGTTTGTACAAAAAAATGTTGGCTGGCAATCTGTACTGTAGCCCAAGTCCTCCCCATTTCGTAGCTGAAATTTGAAGGTGGATCATCATGGTAGTTTAAGTATGAATGGTTGTTTATATTACCAGGTATGCTAATTACGTGTTTTTTTCGTGTGATTTGGGAACCCCAAAATCATCAAAACCTGTCAATGTTCATGTTTTGGTTGTCCGCAATTTTGAGAAGTTCCATATCCCAAAAAAATGCAACTCAAAGTCGGGAACACTTGTGCTTTCTTTGAACCCCGGTCGGGATTTTGGGGCCCCTTTGCCTCACATTTGAACGTCACCTCCGATAAGTTGGCAGATGGAAGCGTGACAGGAAAATATGGTTAGTGGCTGCCATGATCATGGGATTTTGGGTCCTAAACCCAACAACAGACTATCCGATGCAATAGAGGTTTAATATGGTTTAATGACCCCCGGGGCTGATGAGATGGGAAAAAACATGCGCCAACAAAGCATGGACCGTTGACCTACAAACGCAAGGTTGACTCAGCTAACGTCTTCTTCGTGCTCACTAGTCTGATTATCTGACACCAGGACCGTGTTGCTGCTTCAAACCCTGTTTACAACAATCCTTTAGCTGGAATTCACGCTCCATGCCACATTTTGCTCCGTATCTTTAGCCGAAGCAGTTGGTCTATCCAGAGAATACTGCTTTTCAAGAAGGTCTCAGGTAGGTATTGATAAATTGATAAAGACCAAGTAGCACCAAAATTGATTTATTCAAGGATAGTCTTGGAGCATTCCGGCAACACTTCGGCAACACTTTTGGGATGCGACCATGTTATCTGGGTCAATTATCAGGGCCAATTCTCAGGGTCAAAAGACCCGTTCCACGTTCCAATCTACATTTCAATTTCCGCGGAAACCCATTCTTCAGCCATTAAAATATATTCAAATCACGTAAAAGTCTCATTTCTCTTAGTTTACCTCCACATTTTTTTGAAAAAAAAAACGGCCCCAGCTGCCTGTGTTGCCTGTGGTACATAACTTTGAGACCTTGGCAAGCCAACTTGGCGCCAAGGATTTTAACCATCGCAAAGGGAATTTGAGCCACAAAAATGGTGGTATCATTTGGATATAATGATTGATATCCGCCGACCCCGGCCTTCGCCAAGGCCGGGGCGGCGCCTGGGACCACCGCAGGTGTGGAACTTGTCCTGTCGGACCACTGCACGTGCGGAACTGGATAAAACCTTTCGTGGCCGCGCAATCCAAACCGTTCAAACCATCAAACCCTTCCAAACCCTCCAAACCTTTACCCTTAAACAGCTTCCCCAACAGGCACCCCAGGGCCAGGGCCACAGCAATGACTTTCTATGGGCTTTCAAAGCTGCTGTTTGCCAGCCCGCAAACGCTCCAAACCCCTCCAAAATTCCAAACACCTTCCCCAACAGGCACCCC